CTGAAAATCACAGTGAGAAACGCGGAAGCCCTCTAGCAGCTGTCAATGAGACAGCCACTAGAGGCTGGATTAACCCTAATATAAACATAGCAGTTTCTCCGAAACTGCTTTGTTTATAGAAAAAAGGGTTAAACCTAGCTGGATCTGGCACCCAGACCACTTCATTAAGCTGAAGTGGTCTGGGTGCCTATAGTGGTCCTTTAAGCTTTCATGTTTGCCCAGGTTTATACCCATTACCCAACTCTGAGGTAATATTTTTTTTTCAATTTAGAGATGATGAATGTTTGATTTCACCCTGAGGTTTGAAAAAGGATTGAATATACTTTATGATAATCAGATAAATAATTGTGTGACATCAAGCATTGTATAGGGTTTTGGTAGCTCTGACTTCCTGTATGTTTATGTATATTAAGTTTTAGCATTTCATGGAAATGTTCGTCAGACATTTTTTATTTATCACATATTTAGTAAAAGATGAACTGTTAGCAAGTTACTGGGATTTATGTTAATGTACTGTTGAATAATTTCCACACATTAACAAGACATTAAACCCACAGATCCCCATTTGAATTGTCTGAGAAATGTTAATTAAATTAACATATGATTCTATTTTTATAACTTCAAGCATTGTACAGGTTTTTGGTAGTTTTGACTTCCTGTAGATTTATGTATATTAAGTTTCAACATGGCTTTGTGTGTGATGTATATTTGATAATATGTAAATGTTTTTGTATGAGCATTCACACTCTTTTACAGTATGAATTGCAAATTACTCTTAGTGTGTATAAGAAACTTATTTAGAGATCTATTGTCTTTCTATTTACATGTCCCTCCCACTTACTCTTAAATACTGACCCCAAAGACACAAATGTTACCAGAATCTCAAGACCAGCACAGCAAGGAGGAGGCTTTATAACTGCAGGTAAGTCACATACTTAATATCTCTCTAACTTTTTCCATCTCCTGTATTATTGGGATCTTTCATGCCAGGCCTGATAATAGATTTTTATTCTGTATCTTTATCATGTTTATTATTTAAAAATTATCCTTACAGGATTACTCAAAATACATAAAGCTCTTTAGCTTTCTGAACTGCTTTATGTATGAAGAGTGTGTCCTCATTTTTATTTTATTTTATAAAATTGACACTTTTATAAATGAATGTTGTTACACCTCCATGGTTGTCATTCAGATATACAGCTCACTGAGAAGTCTGTGATTGGACAGCCGTAGAATGTCAGTGCTGGGGAAGAAGGGGAGGGCTTCCAGTAGCTGCAGATACTAGATCTGCAGATATTGGCATCCAAGAACAAATTAGTAGATATACCATCGAAGAAAATATAATTGTCATTTGTTTTTCATATTTCTTTGTACAAGTATAAATTTCTGTTAATATAAGAGTGTACATTTCTCTATTCTATGGCTGGCTGGATCACATTATATGGGTTGTGAAACTGTCACGTTATCTAATAACTTACCAATGTCAAGATATATAGCAGTATGGTTCAACATAATTTTTTAAAAAAAATATTAGATATACATTTGTAAGTTAATTTCATGAAAATTTCTCTCTCTCAGCGATTCCACAATGCCTCTGTGTTGGGAACATCCTCAAGCGCCTGAATTTGTACAAAACCCACCACCATTTCTCAGAAACAATCCCCAGACTCCAAACACATGGCATGCATCACCACCCCAATGGCAAAATAGAAATGGAAGACTAAGGCACGGAGACCCTTCCAACTATCACTGCAATAACCTTAGTGGATCTATGCATTACCAGAGGCCCTGGTCTACAAATAACTATTATTGGCAACAACCAACACAGCACAATCATCAGCAGACATTGGGTTCAACTTATGGCACACCCCAATATACATCTTGCCATCAGAGCCCAGAACCATATTACAGACCTCACAGAAATAGATTCTCTCAGGTGAGGCATTTTATTAGCTTCTTTGTGTTGAATTGACCAGCTTTATTCCCATATACAGGACATACTTGGAAACCAGAGTAATCTGAATCTACCTTTCCTGTCTCAATACTTTGTTGTTATTATTATGAACCTACCAGCAGTGGTAACCCATGTCATTGTAGATGCCTTTGTACTATAGATTTCACGTCAGGTCGCTTTTACTAAAATGTAGTTGTCTATCGTGTCAAAGTTAGCTAATGATGGTCTGGATCACAGGTGCCTAAAAGGTAGTACCCTGGATGTTTTCAAACTACATCTTCCATAATGCTTTCTCTGCCTTTAAAAAGGCAAAGCATAATGGAAGTTGTACTACTAAAACATCTGGGGATCTACATTTTAGGAACCCCCACTCTACACAAAGCTATAGCAATTAATGATCTAGTAACATCTAGTTGTTGTTTTTAAGACACATGTGGCTGATGAATTTCTCAGTTAAACAACTTTTTCCATTTGCCCATAATTTTCATCCGTCAGTCAGAATACGTGTGGTTAATGGCAATCCTTAAATTCTAGTACTTAATTGACACTTTAAAACCAGCGGTTATATAATAAATACAGGTCGTCTATTAGTGGATGAAATCAATAACATTGCAACTAAAACAAGAGAGGAAGAGACTGTAAGCTCATTTGAGCAGGGTCCTCTTCAACCTATTGTTCCTGTAAGTTTTCTTGTAATTGTCCTATTTTTAGTTAAATCACCCCTCTCGCAATATTGTAAGGCGCTACGGAATCTGTTGTTGCTATATAAATGGCGATAATAATATTTATATATATATATATATATAACAAGAAACTCTTACAATTTGTATCAAACCCTGCAGCCCTGTTAAAGTTATTCAGTTGAGGTAGTTCCTGGTTTGATACAAGCTTGTTTTAGAAAGCTACACAGCCTTGTAGTTTGTAGCAAATTTAAATGCAATTTTATTTTTCTTCATTTTAACTTTGTATTTGCACATTTAGAATGCATAAAAATGGTCAACCCCAGGACAGAGTATCTAATTTGATACCTAGACTTTGTTTGGTTATTGAAAATATTTACCTTTGATCAGGTAAAATCAGAAATGGTCTCCTGCCCATCTCAGCTTATTGAGGCTGACATTTTGGAAGACAGTTGTCATTTTGTTGTATAGTGGATGTGCTAGTGATGCTATCATGCGGTGACTGATGTCTGTAGTGTCACCAGATGAGGCAAACCAGTGACGGCAGGACAAGGCAAAGAGTTTGACATTACAACTAAAGCCGTGACTGTTGGGAAACATCCAATCCGAAGTGTAGTAAATAGCAATAACAGTCTTGTAGACCATGAGTACTAAGCAGCTGGTTACTGAGGGTGCAATTGAGAAGTAACAAAAACCCCAAAAACTAGGGCATAAATTATTTTTATTTTTAACACCCTCATGGGCAATGATGGACAATCATGGCACTTCCGCTGTTTGTAAACTCCATTTACTATGTCGTCTTGTCTCAGGACTGGTAAGGCATATTGCTCACAAACATTTGAGGTGCCAAGGTTGACCACCGTTGCTCTGTATACTCTTATGGTTTACCTGAGAATTCTAATTGGTTTTGTGTTAAAACACTTTTCATGTGATTCTTAATCTCAGGTTTATCCATAACACTAACATATCCAAACCATTTGTATTTTATTTTTTACAGGGTCACGCCAAGAAGAAAAACTCACATAAAAAAGACATCAGTTACTATTACCATCCATCCATGTTAGAGAACCCATGGGCAGAACTGGAGGCCAAATTCATGGAGGAAAATAGAGCAAGCCTGTTAACCAATTAATGGAGGTTGGTTGTATTTTCAATGGATTCTGGAAAACCTCTACAAGATAAGCCTCTATAGGCGTATCTACAGACTTGCATGTACATAAAATAAATATACCATGTTACATTCTGCTTGGAATAGAGAATTCAGTACCGATAATGCAAGTTCCTCCATGACAGTGCTAATGTGCTGCCTCATGGGTAGTTGTGGTGTGTGAAGCAAGGGACATAATTCCTGACTCTCTGGTTGAAGAGCCTGCATTGGCAGTTTGAGGAGTTTGCTAGGTGTGGGATCCTGCGACCATGGCTACTTCAGGGGACTGGGGAAGTTGTGGTGCCTGCTCCATTCCTAGTACCTATAAAAACAGGTTTCACAGACTGAAGAGTGGACAGAGTCTGCTTCTGTCTACAGAGCCACATTGTATGCATTTTGTTACGTTAATACCAAATGGACAGTACCAATCCCCCCGACCCCCCCCTTTTTTTTTTTTAATATTAATTCTAGGGTCTAGCACTCAGCAATTTGTGAAATATAAAACCATTTTCTTACCTTGTATCAATCTATTGTTATTTCAATTAAACATGATTGTAGATTGGTTACTAATAAAATATGCTTTTGCACAAAAAAAGAAAAAAAGTTTGGACTCCAGGACAACATTATACAAGGCATAAAAAGAATAAATTAATTGCAATGAAATGCCTTTGAAATAGGATGCTAGAGTGTACAATGCAATAATCCAATTTAATAAAACAGAGGGGTTATTCACTAACAGTGATAATTGCCCAGAGTTCAAAGTGAATTTAAAGCCAAAGCAACCAAACTGGAAGCACAGATATTTTTTTCCCAATTTGGATACTTGGGCCTTAACTTTGAAATTCACTTTGCATTCCCAATGGTTATTAGTTTAGTAAATAACCCTAAACATATTCAATCTCCTTTTGTATGAGATCAAAATATCTGATCTCTATATTTCTTTTGTACCCATCCTTACAAAGGAAAGCTCTCTGTTTATCTGTGTATAGCCATAAAAGCTAAACACAGACTGTTACAAAGTATGTGTAAAGTGTGTATAAATTTGTATTTAATTTTTTAAATGGTCACCTGTCAGTACCAGACAAATCTTCTATTTGGGCTGGAGGTTTCTTTTTGTCTTTGGGGTTTCACATTTGAGTCATCCATTTTCACTGCAGCAAGTTGTTGAGAGAAGCTCAATCGAGCAGTACAGAAAAAGGTTGCAAAGAGTTGAACACTTCTAAAACTAAAACATACATATTTCGCTCTGTGCCAAGGATAATGTTTTGCTTTTGAAATGAACAAACCGTTTTAATTACCAGATAAGAGAGTAGGTATATATTTTTCTGGTTTTGTATTTTATTTGCCTATGATCAACAACTTTTTTTTTTAATTAAAAAAAAGTCAAATATTTATGGCGTCACTCAATGAAAATAAAAAGACAAACGTTTGCATCACATTGGCAAGATATAGCCTTAAAAATTAATTCATTTTTCTGTGTGTCTATATATACAGATAGATACATACTTGCACACCACCATATATCTATATACACACACACACTAAAGTTATTTTAGAATATAAGAAAGACAGATAATCAGAAGACAAAGAAAAAAAAAAGTGACTTTGAAGACGCAGGCATTTTTATTTTTAAACAAATTCAACCGTATAATTGGCATAGATTTTTCCCTTTATACCTGCTTTAAAAGGTGGTTGCTTCTTATATTCTGGCAAATACTGTGTGTATATAAACATATGTATGCATATAAATCTATATATAGATACACATGCACACAAAAAGGGCATCTGCGTGTTAAATTTTTTTTCTTTCTAGGGGCAAAAATGACTAGTAATTGTAAAGGAAAACAAATAAAAAAATAAAAATAAAAAAAAAGAACGATAGAATGGGAAATGGAACATATGTAGTTCAGCAGTTTGAGAGATAGAGGGGAAAAAAAACAAAAAACTTTTAAAATAAAAGGAAATACATTTGTACACAGCCAGCTGCATTCCTGTAGGTTTTTAAATTACTTAACAGTTGCCCCAGGTTCCCCAAAATTCCCTATTCAGACACCAAAGTAGCCTATAACATGAAAACCCTTGTTATCTCCTCTGGTTACAAAAAGGAATTTAATGAGTATCCTTGCTTTTGCAGTCTGAATTTTAAGCGCCTGGTAGAAGCAGTTCCTCCAATAACTGGAGGACAGACATGCCCTACGGTGAGCACAGGGGGTAAAACAAAGAAACAAAAAAAAAAAAAAAGCAAAAAAACAAACCAAAAAAAATATTATAATACCAAAACCTACAAACTGGAGGGGTACGCAGGTCAAACGACCAATGAGGCTGGAGAGATGCCACACATTCGTAGACATAAGTGACGCAGCAATGCAGCCATTTTCAAACAAGTCCTTCTTTACTTTCAGACTTTAAATATAGCTAACAGATTGCTGCATTGTTGTGTTGATTTAACTGTTGCAGCATGCCCCAACCACCCCATTTTATTTGTACCCCCAGCTGGAAAACTGGCAGGAGAGATGGAGAATGTAATGTACAGTCACTGGACTTCAGTAAGGAACACCTCTTCCACGTCCCCCTCTTGGAGGCACACGGGTGGTAGCCCGGTATGGTTTGCTAAATGCCTGAGATGGTGCCCCCCAGGCCTGGTTTGTTCCTGCTGCTGCTGTCCCAGACCCCAACTCACTGTAGTTTGCAATTTTGGCTTCTTGATAGTGGTGAGAACTGTTACTGCTCCCCTCTAGTCCAGGTGGAGGCACTGTGCCAGAATGCAAGCCCAAAGGAATCCGGGTGAACCTGAGGTCTTGGTCCCCTGGAAACTGCAGAGATCCGGTTCCCTGGTAACTACTTGATTCCCCCAGCTGTCCTGGGAATGTCCTACTTTTTCCTAGTGTTTGCGGTGAACTTTCACCTAGCAGCTGCCCCGAGTCTCTCTCATCTGGCCCTGCATTAAACACTTCCTCTGACCCATCTGAAGTGTAAGTCCTGGTGGGCAGGGTTCGTGATACGTCTGGAGCCAGTCTATGGGGTTGCCTCTCTCTGCCACCCTTCACGAGGTCTGGCTCTACCTCTTGCTGTGAGAAGAGCTGCAGCAGGGCAGGACTTCCTGCTGGGTTCACATCAGATGCATTGTCTTCTGCAGCAGAGGGCAAAGGTGGTGGACCAGGAGGCTCTGGGGGTCTCTTCTCTGGTGGCAGGATACGGGGTTGACTAGATGTAGGAGGGTTACTTCGCTTTACAGCATCTTTAAAAAACATAGATAAATGAAACAAAGAAGGAGGAGAAAAAAAAAAACAACACTTGAATACACAGAGTCAAACAGTACCAATATAGGTACACAATGAACACGGCTTTTAAATTAAAAAAAAAGTTACTGCATAGTTTTAGGGGAAAATCTAGTTAACGTTTAATAATAAAACTAAATTCGGGGGGGGAGGGGAGGGCATGCAAGTACATGCAGCATAACTGAATACACATATAGTAAAGACATTTCTAATCTTTTAATTACAAAATAAAAGTTTGTGCAACAAAGTTTATTTAAAAAAAAATAAATTAAACTTTTAAAGGGTAACAATCATCTTTTTGTTAAGCACTTTAAATCCATTGCAGAAAAGGCAACCATGGTTTGTTTTTTATTTTATTTTTAAGAGTGTTTTTTTTTTTTTTTTAAGGACACTATAGGCCAGGGATAGGCAACCATCGGCACTCCAGATGTTGTGGACTAGATCCCCCATAATGCTCTTACACCTAGAATGCTGGCAAAGCATCATGGGAGGTGTAGTCCAAAACATCAGGATTGCCAAAGGTTGCCTATGTCTGCTATAGGCACTAACCATTTAATTTCAGTGAATTGGTTATAAAGCATTAAGACACCTTGCAGATTAACACTAAATGAGGGTCCCTGGCCACCCACAACCCGGCCTCTACTGAAGTTATGGTTAAAGCAGGGGTTGCACCCTTCCTTATAGCCATTAAAATTCATGACAGCAATGTGCTCTGAGATAGGGTGAAGGAGGTCAGCTGACACTCTCAGCCAATCCCAGCTGCCCATGCTATTGCCTTCCTTTTAGCTAAATCAGCACATGGGTGATAAGCTGCTGGTGATTGTAATTTAGTATTAAAAAACGTTTAACGCTGAATAGAAGGATGGTGCCAGGGGATTCCAGACACTATAATCACTTCAAAGATATGAAGCTGTTACAGTGTCTGTTTAAACTCCGTACTCACCATTGGTAAGAGGAAATGTTGAACCCTGGTGAGAGGAAGAGAGTGTATGTATCTTGAAAAAGACCTGAATGGGTCGAAACTTAATTTTTTCCCCCACATGTGATAGCTATTAAATCACAGATTTCTAGCCCTGTGAGTGCATCATTTTGTACAAATGTCTACCTAGTCTACACTGATTGCACCAATTAATTTAAGTGTTCTTTGGGGAGAGTGCGTGTGTATCTATATATCTCTTGTACTGCTTACCTTGGTTTCCTGGGTGTTGCAAACTGCAGTAACTCAAACCAAATCTTCACCATAGAACATAAAGTCTAACATGTCTTCCCATCTCCAACTACATAGGAAAGTCTGCCAACACTAGCAGAAACCATTGCTAGTGAACCTGTCACCCACAAATGTGTGGATGTTCAGGTATACTTTGGTCAAGAACTAAAAAAGGAATACATACATTGGCGCAGAACGCTGCTATCCACTTAAATTTAGAGCCACTAATGTAATAGCTGCCTTCTAGTGAACTGTCTGGTTACTTATTTTTACATAATATATAAATACAGGTGCAGTGTTCATGCATGTTACATAATAAAACTATTTTGTGTGCATATAGCCCCTCAAAGTTTGTGTAGGGTAAGAGGTTTAATAAAAAATAATACATTAATAGACCAATACGACAGGGATGGAGGTCTACCTTACCCAACTGGGGTAAATCCTAAGATAGTAAAGCAAATTTTTAATTCAGCCTCAGGGGGGCAGAGTTGAGGATTGACAAAAATAAAAAATAAAAAAAAATGTTATTTTATAATTCAGGTTTAATAAAGGGAGAAAATAGAGAAAAATGTACCAAATAAAATAAAGTACAGTACATACACGTGTGTATAGGTAGAAATAAGGACAAGAGACTACTGACCGTTCAAGCCTATGGTACACCTATTTAAATTAGTGGGTTTGGGGTTGGATAAGTTAAAGGAATGAGTAGGAGGCAACAAGTATATGGACCCCCCTCCTTTTGTAACACTTATCAAGACAACAAATGACCCTCTTTGATAGTATGAAAGTCCTGAAGTTGTCTTTTCTAAGCCCCCCATCATCTGCCTCACAATGTGCACAGACATCATTCAAATTGGAACCAGTATACAGAATAATAGGAGCAAACCAGATGAGACTTTAAATGGACCGGGCAAATATTTCCCCTAAAGAAAAGAGTAAGAACTTGGCAAAGACCATTAGCTATTCCTACTTTTTTGCATCTCTACGTTTTGTCTCTACACACTTTGAGTCTATGCCAGAGAAATTGATATTAGAGGACTTTCATACTATCAGTGATTAGCATCACAAAAGGACAGTAACCATATACTTGCCCTATACCCGTGTATGGAAATGCTCATGATTTATTCACCCATAACTACAGTAATATAGATAAGTATACACTGGGCTTGAATGGTCTATAGTGACCAATCTTCAGGTCTACCTATATGCACACACGGCTCAAAATTCCAATTTGCCCCCAGCCATTGGTTAAGTGACAATTTAGCCCTGCAGAGTAGAAATTCATCCTTGGTGAGTAAGCATAGACCAGGGGCAGGCAACCTTCGGCATTCCAGATGTTGTGGATTACATCTCACCTGCTGCTTTGCCAGCATTATGGGAGATGTAGTCTAAAACATCTGGAGTGCCAAGAATTGCCAATCCCTTCCAAAGGCGTTCTGGGCTTGCAGTAGCGAATAACTTTAAATCATGGCTAGCAACACAGGACCTGAAATTTTAAACCCTGCTCACAAATGGAGGTTTCATTTATTGTGAGGTTTATTTTATGTGTGATGTAGTGTGTATTTTCTTTTCAAAAATAATTTATAAAGTAATCGGAATCTTACATTTATTATTTTCCTCTCAATCCTCAACTCTGCTGCTTTATGGCTTATTCATTCATTTCAATTTGGAAGGGGGGGTTTATTATGTTGTTTAGACCTGTGTAAGATCATAAAATTTAGGATTATGAAAGGTGTATTGTATTTGGGTACAGCTGTGTACACCAAGCCCATCCACTGATATAATGGCATTTTTCATCTAAATAAAGTGTAAATTGGCTTGTATAACAAAAATACCGTCCATTAAGTGCTGTATATTTTGTGATGTAAATGCTATGTGATGGTATTAGTGTTGCACTGTTTAAAAAGCAATGGGATAGAAAACAAGAGAAAATGATTCATTTATAATGAAAAATCTATTCACTCAAATATACAATGATATTTCTGACCTCACTGCCAGATATAAATACTGTATTTTGTGACTAATGTTCAGAAAGGGGAAATGGATTGTAAAACTTGCAAATTTTTCAAAATAGATTCATACTCCAAAATTGTTACTTTTGCCCCTTGTGCAGCTTTGAGTTTTTCTTTTTTCCATGTGCCTGTATAAGATTGCAAAGAAATGAATGTGCATCAAGGCCTTGTGTATAATGCAATGGTTTACTATGGTCTATGGGACTCTGTATCTTATCGGATTGATATATTTATGAATGTTCAAATTAATATGTGGGAAACATTTGTATATAGGTATCAATATTAAAAGCATTTCAACGATTTTGTTAACCTTTGGGAATTAGAAAACAAGTCGTTTGTCCCCAATATAAACATATTGCACCTACATAGATCATAGTACAGAAGGCTTGACAGTTTATGCTTTCTGTAGCAATAACTTACCCAATTTATTGTTTGATTGAAGTTTAAAATGTCATACTGGTCTGGGGTATTTGCTTGGGTGGATTAATTTTGTGCCTTATATAGTGTTTATTTTGTGTTTTGTTTAAGGAGACAGATGCATTTTACAGTTATTAGGACATCTGAAGAAATTTTTAGGTTCAAATTTTATGTTTCAAAGGAATTAAAGTTTCCTTAGATCCAATCAAAAATTATGAATTAAGATGCAGAGACCTTGCTAGCCACAATACCAGACATACATAGTTAAGTACACACAATCGTTTCTAATCAACAGAACACTCCCATCCAACAACTGGTGGCCAACACACATAAGCCTACACAGAGCACACACAAAAGGGGTATGTATGCACTCCACTAACAGTTGGCACACACACTCCTATATGTCTCCCACCCACCCCCACACACACACGATGGCACACACTCCTTCACCCACATACTCACAGAACACTAGTTAAACACAAAAAAAAATGTCCAAGTGTATATACACAAATGGCCGTGCACATAAACACCTGGTCGCACAAACATCAATATACTCAGAAACCTGGCATCACTAGGAGGAAGTAATATTTATATCTAATTTTAATAGCTGTATAAATTCAAGAGGTTGCGCCAGAATTCAATGTCGTTTTCCCACAGGAACACAATGAGACAGCCAGCTTCACTGTAACTTATGGGGGCTAGACATCGAGACCTTTTGATCTCAACTGACCACAAGGAAGAAGAGAACTTCTTCTCTGTCAGGTCTCATTCCAGGTGACTAGCTGCTATGGAATTAACAAGACATGGTGTACTGAGATGAGGAGTAATGTAAAATGGTGACATGGAAAATTAGGGCAGTGGTTTTAAAAGTGATGATGCAAAGTTTGTTTTAGCAGATGATTAAAACCATAATATCGGACAGAAGGTTAATGATACCCAGTCTTGAACACTGAAAGTGAGTTACATAATGTGCTAATGTGACATTTTGAAGAGCATGGCAATGCCAATTGTTCGACAGGGTAGCTGATAAACAAAGTTAAAGAAAGGCAAGGACAATGCAGGGGAAGAAAGAGACAATGTTTTAGGAAACACAGGGGCTGTGGGTTATGTATTGTAAAACCACTATAAGCAGAACTGTAAAGGATTGGAGATTCATGGTTATATTTTACTCCATATAACAATAAATGTCAACAATTCGAGGACAGGAATGGAAAATGTATTGTAAGTTTGGGTGAAGAGCCCCCACCTTTGGGTTTATCATAACACACCGTAAAATAACTGGGGATAACTGCTACTGAAGTAGTAGAAATTTTTGGAGCTTCTGCACCAGGAACATGTTTACCTGGCTATCTCCCAGAGAAATGCTGTAAACCAGGGATGCCCAAAAGGTAGATCCCCAGATGCTGTAGGACAACTCCCATGATGCTTTGCATGTCTTTAGAATAACAAAGCATCATGGAAGCTGTAGTTTTAAAACGTGGGGATCTACCTTTTGGGCACTCCTGCTATATAGCATCACATCCCCTTTGAATTTAGCAAGGGAGAAGAATGGTAAATTATGCTAATGTGCACAATTGTCGAGCATTGCACATTTACACAGTGTGTGAATATAAACTTGTGAAGGTAATAATGGAGGCAGCTTTGTACAACCATAGTGAGAATCTCATCTCAATACAAAGTAGTTCCGTGCATTATATACTAAAGATGATTTTTAAATAGCTGGAAAGGGCATCCAAAAGAAAATAGAGGGTTTTAGAAATGTATATAATTATGTAAGTGTGTATGTTCTGGTGTATAGTGCTTCAATTGTCCAATATGTTTAGAGAGTACATACAAATGAATATAGTGAGAAGGGAGAGAATGGTTAAAACAAAGAGTGAAAATTGATAAACAGTAAAATACTTAGAGTGAACAATCCAAATAATCATAAAATTAATGGTGAATTTTAATGTTTGCAGTTTATTATAAACCAAAATACAATGAGTATTTTCTTCTGTAATCTCCACTAGCTTTGCTGTAAAGGCAGACCTTCATCTCCCACACAGTGAGTCTGAAGGCCACTAGTGCACAGAAGAGATGGGAGGAATTTTTTTATTTTATTTTTTTATGAGTGATTTTCTCCTCTTATGCATTTGAAACACCACCCCTGCATGCAATGTGGACTAGATGGTAAACTCAGGGTGACCAGAATTTACCTGTGTCATCCTCCATCTCTTCCTTTTCATTTTGTTGCTGTTCTTCTACAATTACTTCTTCGGGTTCAGGTGGTACTGCGAGAATGCTTCCACTCTGCTCTCCATTGCTCTCTCCGGGGGCCTCCACAACTTCCTGGGGGTTCATGAACTGGCTAAGGAGGACGGCTAGAACATTCTGTACCTCTCCCTGAGTTTCAGCCTCACTGGAGTCCACTTGGTCCTGAGCTGGAAGATCTTTAGAAGCCTCTTCATCTGGATTTGAAGGGCCAGCAGTCAAGGCTGTGATGGACTGATTTAAAGCTTCCAGCTGCTGCTGCATGTCTGGATTTGACTGAACGTTTAGCAGCTGGGATATCTGGGTGACACTGAGGTCAGTCTGGCTCTGAAGAAGGTTCAGCAGGATAGCCAGTTCGCTCTGATTGAGCTGTTGTGTGATATCCCCGAGAATCGCTGCAGACAAGGAACAAGTAAGCCAATATATATATATAATAAAAAAAAAAAAAAAAGAAGTGGTACATTTCCAATAAAGTGCAATCTCCAACCCTTTTCCCCATATGAGCTAAACAATCCCAAATATTTATAGAACTCAAGAGGAAGAATCTAAACTCTCCTTTGATGACAGCTTGACGGATGTTCCCATTGACAACCATCTAACAATAAGTGCTCAAAAAGCTGTGCTGCACAAATTTAGGGAATCTTTAGCATCATAAATCTGTGGTCTTTGCAGATGTTACGGAGCAAGAGGTCCACTGCAGTGTCTCCTTACACATAGAACTGAATGTGAGAGATGTGCTACATAATTCTATAAACACATGCCCAGATGTAGTTCAGTCCCCAGCCACAGTTACACAAAGGATCTGCAGAGTGATTCAGCAGCAGCAAGTGGATTGTATGTATTTCTAATGCATTGTACAAATGGGTGTGACTCACTTTTACAAAAAAATTATAATATGGGAAGCATTTTGTTCTATTGAGACCTTGGTTCTTTCAAAATGGACACATTCTTTGAAAAGAACGCTTTAATAATAATAGTTATAAATGATAACACGATGCGTTTGAAACTCTTGAGAATGTAATGAAGTAGTGGCTCTGGTGGTTTTGTTTTAGGCATATGAAAAAGATTTCAGGTTCTCAGAAACAGTACTGTTTTGCATTGTCCCAAACAAGAGACCGCATCTATGCACCAAATCCACTACATTAGGTTGTGGTGCGTAGAGTATCCCTTTAAATGTGTTCTCATGACACTAAACAATAACCTACAAAATACTCTTGTTGACTTTATAACAGTTTTCTGCTTACACAGGTCAGTGGGTATGGTCTCCACCTTCGCTGGCTGCGAGGGGGCTGGGCTGCTGTTCCTTACAGGGTCTATACCCTGTGGTGCTACATTCTCTTTCCGTGGAGCTTTGATGGCAGGAGGTTCATCGATAATGATGCCGCTCTGACGCTGCCTTCTGCGTTTCTTACTCCACAGTTCATGACAATCCTGCCAGGAGGGGAGACTAGAAGAGAGGCAATTACATTATAGGCTCTGCTTGTGTATTCATAACTGTTCAATACCAGCCATATACAAAACAAGGTAAAGGCTTACAAATTTTTTTTTTTTACACGTTATTCACTATTCTAAAGATTACAAACAAGTAATATAACTTGATATAATGCGCAAAAATATTCAATATTATTGACTGATGTCAGGTACTTCTAAACATGGACAAAGCTCATTGCAGGAACCAGCAACCCATGAGGCTTTGCAGCAAACAGTTTCACTGGGGAGTATTATTTATATTAAATATTCCTTTGGAAGGATGAGAGGAAACCATAACCCTCTTTTTATATTCCCTATAGTTTACGTAAAGTATGTTCAAGGCTCTTACTCTGGAGGGGCCATTTTGTCGACGTCTACATCTTTGAGAAAGTCACTCTGTAGTGCCTGCTCAGCGGTGCAGCGCTTGCTGGGATCCAAAGTGAGCATGTAGTCCAGCAAATCCAAAGCAGGCGTGGGAATGCTGTTCAACAAGAAAGGATATCGACACATGAATATGTTCAGAGAGACAACAGCAGTTAAAGACTGCTTGCACAGATCACAGCTGAGCAATGAATTGCATATTTATCTGGTACTCAACATTATGGTGCGGAGTGGTAAGACCAAAAAAAAGTGAATATACAATATTTTAATACAGAAAACGGTAATTAAACAGGAATTTAATTAGCTTCTTTTTGTAAACTAAAATGAGTCTCAAAGTGCAGGTGATTCTAAAGATTAAAGGACCACTATAGTGCCAGGAAAACATACTCTTTTTCCTGGCACTATAGTGCCCTGAGTGTGCCCCCACCCTCAGGGTCCCACTCCCGCCGGGCTGGATGGCAGGGAAAGGGGTTAAACTTACCTTTTTTCCAGCGCCGGGCGGGGAGCTCTCCTCCTCCTCTCCGCCTCCGATCCTCCTCTTCGGCTGAATGCGCATGCGCGGCAGGAGCTGCGCGCGCATTCAGCCTGTCTCATAGGAAAGCATTCATAATGCTTTCCTATGGACGCTGGCGTCTTCTCACTGATTTTCACAGTGAGAAGCATGCAAACGCCTCTAGCGGCTGTCAATGAGATAGCCACTAGAGGCTGGATTAACCCATTTATAAACATAGTTTCTCTGAAACTGATATGTTTATTTTAAAAAGGGTTAATCCTAGAGGGACCTGGCACCCAGATCACTTCATTAAGCTGAAGTGGTCTGGGTGCCTAGAGTGGTCCTTTAACAGTGCATTGTGCTGGTGTAGATCAACTTACCTGCACTTTAAAGATTTAAAGTAAAGCTTACCATTCTAGAACACTGAGGTTAAAGAACACTATATAAGGTCAGCCTAAGCATTGCCTGAACAACAAACCATATACTTGGTAGTATTCATTTAAATCTAAATAAGGACATTTATGCTTTTACTGTAAAATGTCTGACTCTCCAGACTGATCAGTAAGACAGATTAATGTGAAAAGACATTCCTAATCTAACTTTCAGTTACAAATAAACTCACAAGGAGAACTCTTCTCGTAATCGCCGTCTATACTGTTTCTTCGGTTTCATTGTATTAAAGTAGGGTAATTTGATGACATCTGGCCAGACAGCAGGACAGGGACTTCCACAGAGACGGCTTAGAGAAAAACATAAGGAATAAGACAATCTTAAGAGAAGATTCTGAACTAAATAATACTGACAATGATATGATTGACACTCAAACATTTTACAACATATCTCAACTGCAAGTTCATATTAATACTTTGCTACTCCTCTCCTTAAGCAGTACCAGCATAAACGTTGAGTGACCTCACCTGATAAGTTCTAACTGAGCGAGCTCTTGGTTGGCTTGGAAGATTGGCTTTTTCATGAACAGTTCGCCAAGGATACAACTGAAAATAAACAAAGTAGAATAAATGACAGATTGGGACATTGTTCCATTAAACCACTAACCTCTTCTCATTGCTACATCTGTGGCACCATACTTCCCTTCTCTGCCCTGATCCCAACTAAGTTTAGTTTTATCTTATGTCCTTCCAACTTAGTTTATCATTAAAATGCAGGTACATCAGATGTCTCCATATGTCTTTTATGACTAACCTAGTTATAGTCTGCCTTATTCAGCTTCTTGTGTGCTATTCTGACTTGTTCTTCATTAGATTGTTTAACCAATAACAATGTCTGCCAATGGTTGACAAAGTACGGTATTATAAAATTACCATTCTATTACGGAGACTAGCTAGTGTTTTGCAATAGGTTTATGTGCATTACATATTTTCTACTATTTGTGCTGTGTAATGGTCTACAAAAAGAATTGTAATAAAAATAAAAAAAAATACAAAAGATGTACCAGTTATTTAGAAATAAGAAAAGTAGTAAAAAAAGCGTCATTAATCATGAAGTTTTCCTGTATCCTGTAATCATGACATGTGAACACACTGTCCCATTTACTTACCCACAACTCCATACATCTATGGCAGGTGTGTATCTCTCCTCTCCTAGAAGCAGCTCTGGTGGCCGATACCACAGTGTAATCACTTTATTAGTGTATGGACGGCTGAAATAAAAAAACATCAAGGGAAGAGTGAACTCACCATCAAAAAGTCCAAATTCCACCATGGACAATGTTAAAATGGGGGTTTGTGGTTTTATTAACTAGTATTTCTTTTTTTTTTTTTTCTCCCATCAACACACTTGCACCACTCACTTCACAATGCTAAAATATCCCTTATCTAAGATCTAATTTAAAAAAATAAATAAAATAAAATTGCTGCTAAATAAAAACACATACAATGCTAAATTATTAAAGCATCTTATAATCAATCTAGAATACAAAAGAAAAAATGCTTTCTCCTTCTGGAAATTCTGTAAAAACATACATAACTTTTGATCTCACAACTCATATATATTTTACTTTTCTTGACTATATAACGGATTAAAAAAAATATTGCCAGGGAATTGAATTTAAAAACGATTAATAGCCTTACCTTTCTTCTGAGCTATAAAGCCGCGCCAATCCAAAATCTGCTAGCTTGATATGACCACTGCAAAGAAAATGACATATCAGTATGTAACTTCATTAGCAAGCATTGCATGGATGAATGGGTTTTCAGTTTGCGGTTTACCGGTTGTTTAGTAGAATGTTCGAACACTTTATGTCTCTGTGAAGAAAGTTCTTTTTGTGACAGTATTCCAGGCCTTCCATCAGTTGCTTCATAAAAGACTTAATATGGTCTTCTGAAAATTGCACCAAGCCAGATTCAAGTAGCCCCATCAAGTCGTGGTCCATATATTCAAACACCAAGTAAAAGGCACCTATAGTACAAGGAAATTTCTCTTTACATGTTTGAAGTGAGACATGAAGCTTGTAAGGGCCAAGAAATATAGCTATGATATATTTTAGCCTATTTAGAACCCATTCTCAAACCTTCCAACATTAATATATTTAGATTAAAGATCTTGTGCTTTTTGCAAGAATGAAGAGGTTTCCTAAATTCTGACTAACCCTTAAAGGTACACCTTAATAATAAAAATATTAATTTCAACATTAGATTGTTAGTGTTTAAATACTGCCCCTACCTGGCATTTGTTTGTTTGTTTTATGTTACCTTTGCTCACCATCAGGTCAGTCTTCATGAAGCATGCACTCCACCTCCAGTGCAGTCATCAGTGATGATTACTTCTGTCCATTCCAATGATTCTCAGAGAGATGCATTGGTGACAGGGCACTTGCACAGCAACTACCATGCTCTGTTAATTAGATGCTCCTCATAGAGAAACCAAAGCTTAACTAGTAGAAGCTTTAAGAGGATTCATGTTTACATTGTTTGGGGTGGGGGTGAGAGGGGGCGCAAAGATACAGACAACATTTATGCACCAAAACCACTTAATTTGAGGCTTAGAATGTCCCTTCAGGATCATAAATGTGAAACTCAATTCCTATAGAGGGCCAGATTTTTTATGACTGTAAATATAAAGGAAGGCTAAATCAAATGTAGGTTGTATCAAAGAATATGGCAGATACCCATAGCAATAAAGCATAGAGTAATGTGAGGCGAGGTAGTGTTCCAAGGCAACAATGTTACAATAATGTCCATCGTGCAAGTGTTTGAAACAGATCCACAACAATAAATCAAAGTCCGCACCAGGAAAGTCAGTCAGAGTCGCCTCCACCCCCAGGCCCAATCAGATGCCAGTGCCATATGCAAATAATCAGTTTACTTGTTTCACATTATATAAGCTCTCTTGCACTGGATTGCTGGATGGAAGGAAAGACGCATTGTGATTGCATTGTAATCAATCTGATATTTCCTGGAAATATGTTGTATACAAAACCAAAATAAAAAAAGAAGACCCACACATTGAGTACAAAAGTAGAAAAACCAAATCCTCACCTTTGTCTTTCTTAAAGTCCAGTGCATCCTGTTTGTCGGTGACTATCTCTTTCATGTTGACCACCCTGCCATGAATAAGCTGACGCAATATTTTAATTTCCCGGATGGCTGTGATAGGAAATCCCTCCTTTTCATTATCCAGACGCACTTTCTTTAAGGCCACAAACTCTCCTGAAACAACAGAGCAGTTAATAGCGACAGATTTATTTTTTTCCCCAAGGATCAAACAACACATACATTTTCATAAATCTTTATTTAAAACTGCATATTGTGTATTCCAATCAATTGTTTTATTCTGCTGAATCTACAGCAGAGCAATTATGGGAACAATGTTACACTTAATCTTGACACTAGTAGCAATAGTTCTGTATGCAGTCAGAGCAAAAAAAAAAATTCAATGTGACCCACTGTAATAAATCACTCAATATGTGAACCTATGTAATTTAGGATGTAACCTAGCACATTACCTGTAACCTTGTCCTGTGCTTTATAAACTTGTCCATATGTTCCCTCTCCAATAATACCAAGAATCTTGAATTTATCCACACAGCGCTTCCCCCAGTCTGTTTCAGTCTGCTTTCTTTCACCATAACGTGGACAGCAAATTCTATAGGAACAAACAGAAGACCCAAAATATTTAGCAAGGACTTTGTTAACTCCTAAAAACAAATCAAGTAAAGCATCAAATATATTACACCATATAATTTACACAAAACATTTTCTAACTCTTCTTCACACTGAAAACTAATGATTTTGTGTATGTTATTTAAGGGACACTTAGCAAAATTACAATGTAGTGGTTGTGACTACAATGCTATGTAGCAAATATTTTGTTAGAGTCTCTGAGCATCATTAAGCTGTTTAGAAACAGTTTGACTAAACCAGGGACCTATAGATGCCCCTGTAATGTGGGTGGTTGCTTTAAATAAAAAAAAAAAAAAAGCACTGTGCAGAGTCCTGACAGGTGTGTTGACCAACAAGTTAAACTACACCTTTTAGATGACAAAAATCTATAGATTATACAATTTATTGAGTCACATTTAAGGCTCATACACAAAATAAAAAAATAAAACTAAGGCTTTAGAAAGGATTTCAACAAACAGCAGTTTTGTCTCCAATACAACAGCTGTGCAATCTGTAGAGGGCTACACAGTAGTGGATTGTGGAATATGCTTAGCACTGCCACAGAAAGAGTATTGGAAAAGCTGAGCAAAAGTTGCTATTTCAGATTCCCCACTACTGTATTATTTTCATAGTTTTAATGCATTATCCATATATTTTATTTATAAAAATGAAAATAAATATATAGTCTGTAGCAGCGGTTCCCAAACTGTGTCGTGGAGCCACAGGTGAGCCGCAAGCTATTTTCCCGATGCCTCGCTCTCCCCTGCCAACTCTGCAGGACCCTCTTCAGTCCGCTCGCAATGTAATGCTGCTGCCAGCAGGGGAGGGAGAGAGGACCCAGGGGAGCTCTAACCTGCAGCTCTGCTGGGTTCTCCACTCGTGAGCTTTCAGTGTTGCCGCGGTTACCGCAGCAACGCAGCAAATGTGCAAGAGTGAACTCTAGCAGCTCCTGAGGCTGCTAGAGTTCAATGTTGCAATAGGACTGCCAGGAATTACCTTGGTAAAATATTAAAATAAATTAAGAATGCCTTAAACCTAAAAGGTTTGGGAACCACTGGTCTGGAGTATATCTGTACAATTTAGTGGTCATAATTATCAGGATAGACTGTATTCTGTCATGGAATTGTATAAATAAATATAAGTCAATCACTTTTTAATTTTATTAACATATTTTCAGGCTATTACTATTCATTTTTTTAGCCATCTTTGTAAGATAAAAACAAAAAAATCTAATTTGTTTAAAAAAAAAAGATAAACTAATACACCTTTCATGCAAACAAACAATGCACACTTACTTTGGTCTTTTCTTTAACTGCTGTTGTGGTGATGTCACCACTTTTGGCTCCGGGGACTCTGGAGGAGATGGGTCACCACCGGGTAGCTCAGGTGGCAATGGAAGATCAATTAGGAGATGCCGAGGTCTCTGCTCCTTGTCCTTCTTGACTGGTTTTGGAGTAGGAACCTCCATGGGGCTGAGACAAGCAAAGAGACAAAATTGATAAATATTCAGCAGACAGATATCAAACAATATCTGCTACACTCATTAGTAGAGGAGCGAGCGAGATATATAAAAGCTTGTATAAACTGTATGCTTCATAATGATCTCAAGCTCAGCCACCCCCACCTCACCTATCAAATAAGACTGTCAGCACAACTCTGCTTCTGGCTACAACATAGAAATCTCTGCTAACCCAATAAAGATTTCTCCATCTACTCACAAAAGAGGAATCACATAAGCATACCTCTTATTTTTGTAATCCTTACTATTTCCTTAAGTTTAATCTCTCTAAACAGTCGCACTGCAGACTCCCACCATCCTGTTGCATTCAGAAGCCAGCAGCACCATGAGTCAATCCAATTTATATCACAGATAAAGGAAAGTCAGACAACAGCTCGCTGTGCAGCCAGAGGCAGCACCTTCTTATAAGCAACTGCTAACAATTATAAAAAGAAATGTAAAAACTCCTTAGGATAAAGATAGCTAAAGGCTTGGCACTGCAAAGGATCATGGACCACATTTTCCATGATGCCAAGCAAGCCTAAGGTAAATGGACACTAAGCAATAAGTATGTTATGGATTACATCTTCTGTGATGTTTTCCCAGAATTATGGCTGTAGCAGCATTATGGGAGCTGTAGTCCACAACATCTGGAGTGACAAAAGTTGCCTACCCTATGCCCATTGTATTGCTTTGGTGCAAGGAGTCTTGTGGTGAGGTTACATCCCCTTGTCTACTGCTCAGGGAGCGGTAGACAAGGACTTTGTGAATCATACACACAATATATAGATACCTCCTCAGAAACATCTATTTAAGAGAAGATATTAAAGTGTGACTGCAAAAAACGTTTGGTGGTATTTTCTGCACGGCTTAATGCAAAGAATAGATCACTTTGCCCAACTACTTTTTAAATCTGTGCTTTATAACAATCTTTTCCTTTCAGTGACATTATCTGAACAATAAGAATGGAAAAAAAATTATATTATCTATAGTTGCAGATTACTACTTACCATGGTGATAACCTGGCTAGCGTACAAAGAAAGCTACATTTGGGTTTGGCAACTAAAATATATAAAATAATATCTCTCATATACATATCTAACAAAATATCAAAGGACCACTCTAGGCACCCAGACCACTTCAGCTTAATGAAGTGGTCTGGGTGCCAGGTCCTTTCTAGGGTTAACCCATTTTTAAATAAACATAGCAGTTTCAGAGAAACTGCTATGTTTATGAATGGGTTAAGCCTTCCCCCTAATCCTCTAGTGGCTGTCTCATTGACAGCCACTAGAGGCGCTTGCGTGCTTCTCACTGTGATTTTCACAGTGAGAGCACGCAAGCATCCATAGGAAAGCATTGTAAATGTTTTCCTATGCGACGGGCTGAATGCGCACGCAGCTCTTGCCGCGCGTGCGCATTCAGCCCAGGAGGAGGAACGGAGGAGGAGAGAAGGCAGAGAGCTCCCCGCCCAGCGCTGGAAAAAGGTAAGTTTTAACCCCTTTCCAGAGCCGGGCGAGAGGGGGTCCCTGAGGGTGGGGGCACCCTCAGGGCACTATATAGTGCCAGGAAAACGAGTATGTTTTCCTGGCACTATAGTGGTCCTTTAATACTAACCAATCCAAAACACTAGAATATTCCACGCCATCCCCCACAGTGGGCTTTTAACGCAGTTAGGACAGCATGTAATGTCCTAACATTTTGGTGTGAGCAGGGTTACATCCATAGCCGCCATCTACTGGTTGTTATCAGTACTGATATTAGTACATTGTTTCCTTAGGGTTCCAGTTAGGGTAAGGGAAGGGTTAGTGAAACTGTAAGGGTAAATACGGTTAGGGTGTGATTGTGGTTGTGGTTAGAGTTCGTGTTATAGTCAAGTATAGGATTAGTGAACAGAACAAGGTGTAGAGTCAGCGCTAATTCAAAAGGCAGCAGTCCCAAACAGGGAATCCCTCTAATGTCGCTGAAAATTGGATAATGACAAAAAAAAAGTGGGGGGATGGGTCTGCGCCAATGTGCACAATAAATAGTAATATTAAGTCCAGTGGGGTCTATATTGTCGCATCCAAGGATCTACTTCAGTGATATCCAGGAGATGTTGATGGTGTGAAGAGTAATCCAAATATATGAAAAATAGAAGAGGTCTTACTTACAATTGGCAGAGCTTAATCCAGCTCTGGTGTGAATGGCTTACAGCGGTATTATCCCCGCTTCCAGGATATGCAGCAAGTGTCCTCTTCTTTGTAGTGGCAGGTAACCAAGTTGGAAAATAAAAATAGAGACAGTAATGGTGCAGCATATTCCACACGTATGGTAAAAATTATAAAATATATAGTAGATACACTCACATTCGGTAGAGCTTTGACTAGCTCTAGTTGATTTGGCGTACAGCGGTATTATCCCCGCTTGTGGGATATAAGATGAGTGATCTTGACTTGAACCTCAGGAACTCGGAGAGAAGATAAAACAGCGATAGTGCTCTCAATAAAATTTAGATAAATAAATAAAATAATAAAATATACTCACAATGTATAGGGCAGACTAACTGCTCTATGTAACAGCGTGGGTGGTATAATCCCCACCTAGGATTCTTTGGAGTATGGTATGCAGAAAATAAATAAAATATAAAATAAAAAAGGTTATTAAAATACTATATAGAAGGCCAGGTAATAAGGCCAGGTACCAAAATCTTTTTATTGACAATATAAAAACAGTAAAAATATCTAATATGGATATTTTTCCTGTTTTATATATAGTCAATAAAAAGATTTTGGTTATTTTTATGCTTAAACCATCATCTTTTGTTTTTTATTACCTGGCCTTTTATATAGTATTTTAATAACCTTTTTTATTTTATATTTTATTTATTTTCTGCATACCATACTCCAAAGAATCCTAGGTGGGGATTATACCACCCACGCTGTTACATAGAGCAGTTAGTCTGCCCTATACATTGTGAGTATATTTTATTATTTTATTTATTTATCTAAATTTTATTGAGAGCACTATCGCTGTTTTATCTTCTCTCAGAGTTCCTGAGGTTCAAGTCAAGATCACTCATCTTATATCCCACAAGCGGGGATAATACCGCTGTACGCCAAATCAACTAGAGCTAGTCAAAGCTCTACCGAATGTGAGTGTATCTACTATATATTTTATAATTTTTACCATACGTGTGGAATATACTGCACCATTACTGTCTCTATTTTTATTTTCCAACTTGGTTACCTGCCACTACAAAGAAGAGGACACTTGCTGCATATCCTGGAAGCGGGGATAATACCGCTGTAAGCCATTCACACCAGAGCTGGATTAAGCTCTGCCAATTGTAAGTAAGACCTCTTCTATTTTTCATATATTTGGATTACTCTTCACACCATCAACATCTCCTGGATATCACTGAAGTAGATCCTTGGATGCGACAATATAGACCCCACTGGACTTAATATTACTATTTATTGTGCACATTGGCGCAGACCCATCCCCCCACTTTTTTTTTGTCAAGTATAGGATTAGTGTTTGTGTAGAGTTAAAGGACCACTATAGGCTCCCAGAGCACTTCAGCTTAATGAAGTGGTCTGGGTGCCAGGTCCAGCTAGGGTTATCCCTTTTTTCTATAAACATAGTTTCAGAGAAACGGCTATGTTTATATTAGGGTTAATCCAGCCTCTAGTGGCTGTCTCTTGACAGCCGCTAGAAGCGCTTGCGTGCTTCTCACTGTGATTTTCACAGTGAGAAGACGCCAGCGTCCATAGGAAAGCATTGTGAATGCTTTCCTATGAGACAGGCTGAATGCGCGCGCAGCTCCTGACGCGCATGCGCATTCAGCCAAAGAGGAGAAGGAGGAAGAGGAGGAGGAGGAGAGCTCCCCGCCCGGCGCTGGAGAAAACTGAGTTTAACCACTTCCTCTCCATCCAGCCTGCCGGGAGGGGGACCCTGAGGGTGGGGGCACCCTCATGGCACTATAGTGCCAGGAAAACGAGTATGTTTTCCTGGCACTATAGTGGTCCTTTAATGTTAACTACCATTAGATAAAGAACTTGGACATATTATCACAGGTATTTATATAGCGCCTGCATATTCTATGCAAGTCCTTATTAAATGCTTTTATATTTGTTTATTATTGGCATTTATATAGCGCCAGCATATTCCGTAGCGCTTTACAATATTATCATATAATATTAAGGGGGAGATTTAACAATAAATGAGACCATTACAAAAACTTACAGGAACAATAAGTTGAAGAGGGCCCTGCTTAAACGAGCTTACAGTCTATATAAGACCATTTAATTATCAGGACCGATGGGTGAATCTTTGAGCCTTTTTTTTTTTTTAATTAGTTGCAATTGTTGTGTAAGATAAGCACGAATGTGTAAAAAAAAACAAAAAACAAAAAAAAAAAAGTAAAAAATTAAGTCCCCCCCCCCATTTTATTCTTACATCTAAATAATTTTTAAAAGAGGATTCTATCCTTTAAAAACAATATATAATATGAATAGAGTTTCTTAAAGAGAACCCTTAAATTACGGTTAAACACACAGCACAACTTCTAGATTTTGTGTTCGTTCACAATTTGTACATTTGCCTCCGTCCTTAAGGCGTAAAAAAGAAAACCAGTAATGCAACTGATGCAAACTACTTTGATTTAAGAGACAGGTTTGTTCCTTTTCAAACGTTGTTTTAATCTTTAGATAATTCTATAATTAAACTATTAAATCTCCCCAATTCAAAATGCATATCAAGTTGTTTTAGCTCTAAATGATCAGAATTTTAATTTGTGATCATTTGACAACGAAACCCAAACTGCTATTATATGATGGCTGGTATCAAGTAAGGCATGTTGTGTCTAACTAGCTATTTCTGAGTTTGTTTATAACCTAATAACTTTTATTGAGTGACCTCTACTTTATGCCTATAATGTCATTCCTTGAAATTAGTGACTTCACATTCTAGTGTAAACAAACATTCAAATATTTGTCCCATACCAACTTGTTACCCAAAATATATAAAATTTCCTACTCTTTTCTTGTTACCTAGCTTATTATAGCTATTCAAACACAACTATGTCACCAATGAAGTGTGTATGTTCTTAGTGCAGAATTGTCTGCCATTCAGGAGTTAAATCACTTTTTTGTTTATGCATGTGACTGACACAGCCTGTATGAAAACAAAGTGGTTTCATTTTCGATCAGGTGTAAACTTGCTTTAAAAGTTTTTATTTCCTGTTCGGCAAATTGAACTTTAATTATACAAAGAGGCTCCTGCAGGGTCTAGCAAGCGATTAACAGCAGGAAATAGATTCTAAATTAAACCGAATTTGCAACAAAAGGAAGTGTAAAGACATTAGATCATTCTTTACAGGAAGCGTTTAGGAAAGTTGCGACTAGGGCTGCATAAAGAAAGTGATTTAAACTTATAAATGGCAAAAAATTGAGCAGTGAAACTGCAGGATCTATACATCAAAACAGCTTCAGTAAACTAAAGTTGTTTTGGTGGCTTATAGTGTCATTTAATTAATCTGTGCCCCTTGCATTGACCCTGGTTTTAGTTTTTTGCCTTATTATTTTAGCTATTCATGAGAAAAAGTAGTGCCTAGATTTTTACATAGAATAGGATTTCTGGTGGGGGGGGGGGGGCCTAAACCCAGAGAGAGCTGGACGCATCTTGCAAGAGCTCCGCTTTCCAAGCGCCTTAAAAAAGCCTACAAAAGTGACCTAACAATAAAAAATTACCCAAAATGGAAAAAAGACTCTCCAAAAAGCAACCCAAGAAGGGTCCCAAAGCTGGGAACATGGTACTAGACCTCATGTCAGCCCAGAAACACAGACAGCCCAAGGGACAAGATGGCGGTGCGGGGACACAGCGAACCTCACCTGCCAAGGAAGCTCCATCGAAAGACCAGGATCAGGTCCTATCCAGGTTAACAGAGGTCTTACCTAGCGGGCGAAATCGCAAGATCTACCGCTGGGCTCCAGGCTGAAATCCAGACGTTGGGAACCCGTACCGCACAGCTGGAAGAACGCGTGGAGGCCCACGCCCAATCTCAATGATCTAGTGGCTCAAGTAAACAGGATGGCCGCGCACATGGCTGAAGCAGACCTAGCCCTAGAGGACATGGCAAACAGGTCGAGGCGTAACAACATACGACTGAGGGGCCTGCCAGAAGGGGATGAAAGAAGCTTGCAAGAGCTGGTGCTCAAGATACTGCAGCCTCTCCTGCCCGATCTTCCCAATGACAGATGGAACATAGAAAGGGTCCATAGGGAGGGGGGGAGACAGGTAGGGCCTGTCCTTCAGCCCCCAATTACCTCCAAGGGACATTAAACCAAGTACACCGAGACACTTAGCATTCCCAGGAAATAAGGGACGGTGTACCCTAACTGTATGGACTTCATTGTTTTTTGGTTAGGCAACAGTTGCCTTACAGTCCAAATTGTCATATCTCTCAACCCCCTCAGAAAAAAAAAAAGGCGTAACAAAACCAACGATCACAGAAGTATGTAAAGTCTTATAACTTGTTAGTGCCACTAAAGGGGATACGATTCGAAAAAAACATTCCAACACCAGGGGGGCAGAAAGTGTATAAAAATGTATGTATATGTGTAAAAATGCATAATTTACAGATGCACATGTATATAAGTTAACACGCAGGTTGTATGTTTAAGTCTAGGGAGGTGGCGGACGAAACACGGGGGTCGAGAGAAATACCGGATGATACCCCACCTCGGGGGGGTGGACTCCTAGCCATGGAGGAGGAATCCAGCTTTGAGGCGGATCTGTGGGAGAGACTGAGGAAGCGGGTAGTGAGAAGATAGAGGGCGAAGATAATGCCAAAAATTTAGAAAAAATAAAAAAATAAAAATATTTTTAAAAAATTAAAAAAGTTAAGGTATGTTAAGTTTTATAACTTGTTAGGGCATCTAAAGGGAGATGGGAATTGAAATTAGCTCCAATGCCAAGGGGACAGAAATTCCTATAAGAATGTATGTTAAAAATGCATAATTTGCTGATGCAAGTTATTGTTTAGGTTGAATGTTTCAGACTAGGGGGGGGGGAGGAGGGAGGGCTAACCCCCTGACGGAATATGGCAGTCAAAAACGAAGGTCAATGGAGCAAATAGAAGCCGCTCCACTCCGTGGGGGTCTCAGCCGTCATAGGTGCGTCACCCGGTCTGAGGGCGGAATTAAGGTGGAACTGAATGGAGATAGGGGGTGTAAATAACTAAAAAATATAGAATAAATCACAAAATAGAATAAAATAAAAATTAATATCTTAGAAAGGAACCTGCCTTATGGGGTTGTAAGGGCCTCAGAGGGAAGGATCCCACCGTCACAAGTCCTATGTAATGGAAGCCCAGGGTTGGGGAGAGAGTTATGGGACCAGGAACCCGGGAGACATATGGCCGATGCACGACTCCCAATCCCGGTAAGGTCGGGGGCGGGAATCACCGAGGGGCCTATAGCAGGGAGGGGGAAATCGGCCTCGAAATATGCAGCCAGTAGCCAGCAGCCGACCCCCCTACAGGTTAGCCGTGAACTCAGAAGGCGGATGGGCAACCGAAGGGAATAGGACAATTGGCGGGAGAGCCCCAAAGGGAAGGAAAGGCACCCTTATCAGCACCCCCATACCCACGAGAGCATCAAAATATTTTCAAAACACACTCAAAGATTAACTACGAGGTGAAAGGAGGAGATAGGAGCCCTTGGGCAGAAAAAAACAACAAAAAAAACCGAAATCTTTCGTATATTCCCACCTGTGGGAAATCACGTGCCGTATGAACCCATTGATGTACATGCCACACACCCCAATTATGTTTAGTTAATGGGCAGTTGCCCGGGTTCAAGTTGTCCTCAGGTTTAGACTCAAAATGTATAAGGTCACAGCGATGCACAAAAGGCGCACGCGAATCAGGGGTCATGTTCACGCAGCTCCTACTGGCGTTGATCGAAGGGGAGGGGCGGGATCATACAACACCAACTGAGTCTGGCGATAGATAAGACCAGACCAAATATGCCAATAATGGCTTACACGCTGGCTTATCCAATTCTCTCTTTTTTTTTCTCTTTTCCTTTTTTCTTCTTCTTCCTCTGTGTGTACTTTGGGGGGGGCGTGGGGAGCAGGCTGGCAGTTGGAGAAACCTAAGAGGGGCAGACGAAGCGGGGAAGGCTGTGAATTATAGCAGGATTCTAGGCAAGAGATCATGGCCGTAAAAATAATCTCATTAAACGTTAAAGGCCTCAACGCACCTAGGAAACGTAGAATGATGTTTAGAGAACTGAAAAGGATGAATTCGGACATAGCATTTGTGCAGGAGACTCATTTGCCAAAACAAGTGAAGTTTAGATTAAAGGACCATACGTACCAAACGTCATTTAAGGGTTGGTCACACCGCAAACGAAATGGCCATAATGATACGAAACAGCTGCCCATTAAGCATGGTTTCATGGGAAGCCGACCCAGACGGACGGTTCATTATAGTGACAGGCACTTTATACTCACATACCATACACCTAGTCAATGTTTACGTGCCAAATCAGCCGGACCCAGAGTTCTGGACCAAGCTGAAGGACAAACTGGCAATGCTACCATACGGAATGATCATAATGGGAGGGGATTTCAACGCGGTGCCATGTCCGGCGGTGGATAGGACCGGGAGGGGCGGAGGCCCTAGATCACAAGGGAGGGGAGGACAGGATAAGCTGCTTCGGGATTTCATAGAAGCAACAGGCCTGATAGACGTGTGGCGTGCTCAACACCCAGGGGATAGGGACTATACCTTCTATTCCGCGCCCCATGGAACATACAATAGGACAGATTTGTTCCTTGTTAATAAAATCAGCATGGCGGGGTCGGTGCTGGGAAACATCTCCTGGTCGGACCATGCAGAGGCGTCCACCACTCTGGGAAACCTATGCGCGGCGTCCCCCTGGACGTGGAGACTTAACAACTCACTACTCAGGAATTAACAGATAACGGAACAAATAAGGACCGAGATACAGGAATATTTTCAGTTTAACGATACCCCTGAGCTGCAGATGAACACGGTATGGGCGGCCCATAAGTCAGTAATTAGGGGGGCTTTCATCAAAATAGCCACCTGGAAAAAGAAGATTAATTTCCAAAAGCTAGAAGCTCTCATGACCTAACTCAGAACTCTTGAACTGCGGCATCAAGTGACACCAGAAGATGGAATTTATCGACAATTAGAATCTGTAAGACGGTCCATCCACAAGTTACTGCTAGATGATACGGCAAGCTCAATGTTATGTGGCAGGAGGACTTATTACGAAAAGGCCAATAAAATGGATACACTCCTGGCCAGAACACTCAGGCCTAAACAGGGAAGATCCCACATAACGGCCATAAAACACCCAGACGGCTCTATAAAAACGAACCCACAAGATATTGCCTCCGTATTTGAAGATTTCTACAAACGCTTAAAAACACACACACACACACACACACACACACACACACACCAGGATGGACAAGAAGAAGAACACATACTACGATTTTTGGAAGGCCTGGATTTGCCCAAATTGTCGAGTGAGGCTATAAACAGTCTTGCGGCAGATATAACTGAGGAAGATGTGGATAGAGCCATCTCGGGATTGAGCGGAATAAGGCACCCAGGCCCGACGGAGCTTACTATAACGTTTTCCGAGAAGAACTCACACCGAGATTGGTGAAACTATTCGCAGAGTGGAGAAGGGCATCTGACCCCGATCAGGAAATGTCACTGGCCACTATAGTACTGCTACCAAAACCCCAAAAAGACCCGCTTCAACCGGAAAATTACAGACCAATTTCTCTCATTAACCATGACATGAAAATATTAGCCAAAATACAGGCAGACAGACTGAACCCGCTACTGAACTCAGTAATCAACGCAGATTAGGTTGGATTTATACCTGGCAGACAACTTTTCGACAACACCAGGAGGAATATAGATCTTATATGGAAACAAAATCACGGGGACACCCATGTTGGTCTTTTCTATAGATGCAGAGAAGGCTTTCGATAGGGTCAGGTGGCCATATCTATTCACCCTGCTGGCGCACATGGGTTTCCCGTCAGATTATATAGCACTAACCAAGGGGATGTACAGCAACGTGAGGGCACAGGTCCGGGTGCCCAGTTAAGCCCTTTCCAATTGCATAATGGCACTAGACAGGGGTGCCCACTCTCCCCCCTATTTGTGCTGGCTCTAGATCCCTTCCTACAAGCGATACGGAGACACCCGAATATACGGTGAGTAATGTTAGGAGGAAGCGAGTTCAAGGTCTCCGCCTATGCAGATGTCTTGTTGACCGTAACGAACCCGATGGAATCGATGGGAGGGCTGCAGGACGTGATAAAGGAATATGGAGCAATATCAGGGTACAAGGCAAACAACATTAAGTAGAGTGCCTTACCGGTAGGGATGACGCCGGATGATGTGACCCGGCTGCGAGACACGCATCATGTTCGAATGGAATAAGACTCCCTAAAATATTTGGGAATACACTTGACAGCGGACCCAAGCACGCTATATGCTGCAAACTATATGCCGATGCTCAGAACACTGATCGAGGACTTAGAAAAGTGGATGGACAAACCCATCTCGTGGATAGGAAGAATTCATTCCGTCAAGATGAATATTATCCCACGAATCCTCTTCTTGTTTCAGACGCTGCCCATACGCATTACAAAAACACAATTGGTACCCCTACAACGAGCAATAGGTAATTTCATATGGCAGAACAGGAGACATAGGATCTCCAGAGAGGTTCTGTACAGGAAAAAAGACAGAGGGGGACTAGGCCTACCGAACCTTTATTTTTATTACCTAGCAGCCTAACTGGCACAGTTGGTGATGTGGCATACCCCCCAGACGAACGGAAATGGGTAGACAGAGGCTCTCATGGTGGGATCGGACCTCCCACAGTTTACAATGTGGATACCGAGGGAACACAGACCTATGATAAGGGCGACATGCCCAGCAACATTGAACGCAATACGTATATGGGATGCGACAAACGTCAAATACGGCCTGGCCTCCCCCCCGTCCCCACTAAAGCCGTTGCTTCGAAACAGAGCCTTCCCACTGGGTATGGCAGCGAGGGAATTTCGTAACCTAGAAAGGGTAGGTCTACAGAGGATGGGCCACATGTTCCAGGGGGTAGAAATAGTACAGTTTGAAGACCTTACACAACATCATTTAACACCTTCTGACTTCTTCAGATACGTGCAACTTAGAGACTTCGCCAACCACCCCCACATCAAAATAGCAGCCTGCAGGCAGCTGACCACCTTCGAGAAGCTGTGCGCAACAGAGAAAGCACCTTAGCTCCGAAAACAGAGTGGGGCAGACTGACCTACACAGACCAGTGGGAACGGGACCTTGGCGAGGTCCTGGAAGGAATTGAATGGCAGGAAATCTGGGAAGCAAACAAAAATACATCAATGTGCGTGACGCTTCAGGATCAGGCGTGGAAAACCATGTTCCGATGGTACACTACCCCAGTGAAGCTTTTAAGAATGCATAAAATAAACACAGATGACTGCTGGAGGGGGTGCGGTAGTAGAGGAACGTACATACATATGTGGTGGGAATGACCAACCATAAATAGATTTTGGATATCGGTCGAGAACTTGTGCGACAGATCTTCCATAGAACACCAGCTATGGACCCATGGGTCTACCTCTTGAATAGGTTTCTAGAGGGGTGGACTAGAATGGAGCAAAAACTATTGCACAAGATCACATTAAGCGCACGTAGAACGATAGCGACAGCATGGTTGGCGCCGGAGGGATCGAGCTTTACCGAAATATTCTCTAAGATCAAAGATAGCAGATTAATGGATGACCTAACAGCTAGGGTGAAGGGCACCACAGTAACGTTTCAAAAAATATGGGAACCCTGGGATAGCAGCCCACTGGGTGAGAGGAGTCCCATGAGGAGCCAGGTGACAAGATAGACAGTCGCCATGGACAGAACCAATAGGAATGCAACACAGTCACAAGCATTAAGGACCGGCCACCCCTGTTCCCCGCCGCGCGCTCCAGTGCCCCCCCATCTCTTTCTAAATGTCTATCTTTTCCTTTCCTTACCCCATGCTTTACACGGGACCAAGTGTATGCCAGACCAAAAAAAAAATAAGCAAAAGGGCGGTACAAGCTCTGTAGATACAGATGGTTAAAAAAAAAGGTACAATGGCAGAAGGGCGAACCGGCAGCCGATTATTGCTATCATCAGTGTACTCTCCTAAAAAAAAAAACACCTTGGTTGACAGCAGAAACGAGCTGAGTAAAAGGATAATGTACTGAAATACATAATGTATAACAAAGTTGAATTGCACGACATGTACTACAGGCTTTTGTACAAGCCGGTATGCTATAACGTTTGTCTTACAGTTTATTTACAAAATAGAAAATGAAAATTTAAATAAAAAAATTTAAAAAAATTTAAAAAATTGGAATATGATTTCTGGAAATTGGCGAAGCGTAAAGGGACACTGTAGTAAAAGTAGCTGCTTCTTCTCGTTTAAGTAGTTATAGTGATATAGAAATTCCAACACAGTCAAAAGATACACTGAGACAAAGTAGAAAGTACTTTGTCTCAGTAATTTTTCCTACGCTTGAAACTTCTTGATACTGGGCAAAGCTATCAGGGAGAAGTGTAGGCTCCGCAATCGTCACTAGTGACGACTGCAGGGAATTGGCTCCAATGAGGATAACGAGGTCTCAATGCTGTACTCTTGCACAAGCTTAGGAATACAGCAGTGACTTTGGCTCCAGGCGCTGAAGCGCAGGAAGCAGAAGAAACCAGCCAGACGACAATGGCAGCAACTGCGAGGGACAGGTTCAGATAAGTTAAACTCACATTTCAATGCCCCTCCAATCCGCTTTAAAATGGGCACAGGCGGGGGCAGAGCCTGACCAGCAAGCTAGCCAGACGTGCAGAGCGACAAACCCGGTGATTTTTCGGGCAGAGGTGCTGGAAAATGGTACCTACGGAGCCCTACAAGCAGAGATAACTTACCCGCAACTTTTGACACCAGAGTTAATGTTCTGAGTGCCCGTGAACCGAGGCAACAAGGTGCGGCCTACCAGAAAGAGCGTGGGGAAAAGACGGCCGCTTTCCTCCTGCAGTTACAAGGCCCGTCTGAGCATTATTCTTATCCCGGTCCCAGTCGTCCAGAACTGCTGCAGCCTAACCCGTCCCAGAGGACCCTGTACTACTCCTCAGCTGATAGAGAGCGGAGGGAACCAAGATGGCGGACGTACAAGGCTCCTACACAGCAGACCCCAGCACTACAGCACCAGACACAACGCAATATTTGAAAGGTTCTGGGTGATGCTGTTAAACCGCGAACGACGAGCAAAGGTCACCTATGGGAGCACAAGATAGGGGCACCAGGAGGATTTAGTAACCTCTCAAGGTGCAAACTTGTCCCCAGCTTCCACAACCAGCACACACTGCTCACCTGGGCTGAGAGCAAAGAAGGTTTTGACCAGAAGGTACCGGCCACACACGCGGAGGGCTAAGAGACGCAATTGGAGTCCCACACTGTCAACAAGCAGCGCCCACCACACCACCCCTAACGGGAAGACACTGGACCTCACAGGACTCCAGGTTCGTGATACAAGGGTACCGGCTTTCCCACAACCCCGGGGCTGGAGGGGCGCCCCACGTCCACATCGCTACACTGCTCCCCAATGCGGACTGGGGCATCGGATGATTATCCAGAGTATCAGCTGGAGGGACTAGCTTGGTTCCCCGCAGCCCACGACCGCCTTTACCACGCAGGACTCAAACCCTCTTGCAGACTGCATCGGATTGGACGACATATCCTCAGAATGATATGTATATTGCCTTATGTAGCCAGCACACTAGGCCTGATATCTTTCACTATTATTCTGTGCTACAAAACTTCTCACAGAATGCAACATACACTTGCCTTCCTCCACTATTTAGACAGGATGACATTGCGTACCATAGGCTTATTCCTATTATATATGTTACTATATATCTATCTGAATATACACCCAGCTAGCATGTTATACATTTTAATCAGCATCAGTAAGCCTAATCTAGTTTTAATTCTTGCTACCATACCTTGAATCCTTGCGCATGTTTATTAATCTCATATAAAAAAGGTGCACATCCAATCTATTGTAAAACTTGATGACACTAAAGGACTGCCTTTGCAGTACCTCAAGCTTGTTTGTGCATACCCTTTGCACAGCAAAAATATAAAGTAAAAGGAAAAAAATGGGCACAGGCACTGGGCAGAGGAAGATTAGGAAAAAAAGTGTTATGGAAAGACAAATCTAAGTTTGATTTGTTTGGATCATAAAGAAGAACATTTGTGAAATGCATGCATACCAAATGAAAAGATGCAGGAAGAGTGCTTGATGCCATCTGTGAAGCATGGTGAAGGCAATGTGATGGCCTGGGGGGGGTTTTGTGGTGGTAGAGTAGGATTTATACAAGGTAAAAGCAACCTTGAAGGAGAAGGGTTTTACTCCCTTCTACAACACCATGCCATAGCCTGTAGATGGTGCTTGATTAGAGCCAACCTCCTACAACAAGACAACCCAAAGTGTAGCTACAAACAATGCAAGAACAATTTAGACAGTGAGCAGGCAGCTGGTATTGTCTTTAATAGAGTGACCAGCACAGTCACCAGACCTCAATCCTATTGAGTTTTTGTGGGAGCAGCTTGACCGTATGGTACGTAAACCGATCAAGCAAATCCAACTTTTGGGTGGTAAGGAAGCATGGGGTGAAATATCTTCAGATTACCTCAACAAATTGGCAAGTAAATCGCCAAAAATCTGTAAAGCTGTAATTGCTGCACATGGAGGATTCTTTGCCAAAAGCAAAGTTTGAAGGAGACAATTTCACGTAAAAAATACTTATTTCTAACCTCATCAATGTCTATACTTCGTATTCAAATGCATTTCATGCATGTTTTCATGGAAAATGCCCCCAAATGTTTGAACGTGTGTGCATAAACACACACATATAGAATATAGATGCACACAATCACATTTTAGAAACTATAATATTAGCATAGCAATATAATGTCACAATATATGCAAAATGTGTGTGGATGTCGGATAAATATACTAAGAGCCTTGGAGCAGAAATGTACACTATGTATCAAATACATTATGGTGCAAATGGTCATAGATAAACATATTGAGTAAGGCTGCAGCTCCACGGTGTAAAACTGCCCCTAAACTGGGCATGGAGGGGATGGGGGGGGGAGGTTTAATATAAGAAGACTATGGTAATACCAGTCAGGACAAAAAAGTGTTAACAATTTTTATCTTATGCTTTTTTTGCTTTTATCCCTCCAACTTAAACTAAGAATGAGCATTTAACGTGAATATTGGGATTTGCAATAGATCTGAAAAGGACATACCTAGACTTCATATGTAACAATATAGTATTTAATGTGTATTTGGCATGTATCATATATATCATAATTAATATGTAGTTATATTTGGCAAAGTGTGTCATTTTTGTGGAGTAGTATAGTATCTGCAATAGCTGGTTAAATGTGTGATAAACTCTCGAATAAAGGGGGTTGCCGACTAAGTGGCTGTTTTTTTGTATTTAAATGTGCGGTAATCGGTCATTCTCCCTGACAAAGTGGGTGTACATCCACAAAAGGCACAGGAGTTAAACGATTACCGCTACACTGTTTTAAGCCTGCTTGGATACCGTAATCTGTGTATGCCTGACTGCAAACACAACTGTCTGGAAGCAACACCAGAGAGAAGGTGTACAGGAAACCAGGCAGCAACAGTGGATTTATACTCTTAAGCTCAATAGAGTGCTGTAATACTAGTGTCAGTTTGTGGGCACAGAGATGTACAGTTTCATTGTTGAGTTTTAATTCTATTTTTTTACTATTTGATAAGTATAAATTACACCTTGACAGTTTTTGGTGTGTCCTATTCACCAAATGATAAACTTATCCAGAAGGAAGCTCCTTTAGAAAAACTAGCTGCACAGCACTCTGATCAACCACTACTGAAATTTTTTTTAATCGCTGGGCCGCTATTTTAAAGATTTATTGCTACAATTTGGATAATATTGCATCATTAACCAGTGAAAGACATTGTTCTCTATGCTTGAAAGACGTTGCAAGCAATTGTTAAACATCTAAAGTACAGACCACAGAGAGATTAAATGAACACTATAGGGGCAGGAACACAAACATGTATTCCTGACCCCATAGTGTTAAAATCCCCATTTAAGGTGGCTTGCCCCACCATAAAAAGGTAATGTTATCCAATCTGCCTTCTTGCTGACATCATCATAGGGAAAGCATTGAATTGGCTGATATAGTAAAGAAAGCGAACACTGGCTTGGCCAATCAGTACCTCATCATAGAGATGCATTGAATCCATACATCTCTATGAGGAGAGTTCAGTGTCACCAGAAGCTGAATGGCAGTGCTGCCCTGCCCCAGGAAGCACCTCCAGTGGCAATCTGAGGAGTGGCCACTTGAAGTCTCCTTAGGGGGCAATGTAAACACTGCCTTTTTATGAAAATTCCTGCAGGGAATGATTATACTCACCAAAACAACTACATTAAGCTGTAGTTCTTCTGGTGATTATAGTGTCAATTTAAGCATGGAGTGTAGGTCCACAATTGTATTGTTTATAAGACAGTCTGTAACTAGCATGGGACCTCCTGTTTTTTGGGATCCCAGTTCTACCTTGAAACCTTTTGTTTATTTAAAAGAAAGCAAAAAAAAATGTGTAGACATTTCCAATTATGCCACACAAAAAAAAAAAAAAAGGATAAATTCTTCTTCAAATATCTCATTTTCTCACTTCTTTGTTCTTAGTACTGTATTGATACAAGTTGTATTAAATGCACCACGAATGTTTCCGAATAACTAACAAGTGGAAAGAATTTACCTAATAAATAAATCAAACATTATATGTAAATATTAACTTATGGCACCTCACTACGTGTCAAAAAGTGGTTATTCTGTTCCAAGAGACTAAGAATGAAGTGACAAATGTCAGTGCAGTGGCAATGAATAAAGCGAAGTCATCCTGGCGGAACACATCTCTCTGGAAAGGCAAGGAGTAACCAGGGGTTCTTGCTATAGCAATAGAACACCCATAAACCTGCAGAGATGGCTGGTTAGTTTTAAACCAACATCTAGAGCAATTAAACAGAATATTCCCTGCTAGGATACATTATATAGTATTTTCAGCATAAGATGTTATACAGTCAAGTGAGCCTCATTTCCATAATTCGAATGGAGAAAATAAGGGTAATGAAATGGAGAGATGTTTATAAAGTTTTAAAAAGTAACACCAGGGAAAATGCTGTTTGGTTCACCACTTGTAACAATGCCCCTAAAATGTTTTAGACATAACATAACTCCAGTTGTGCCTGTAATATGCATATGTATACACTGGAATGTGAGTTATCCATAAATAAAATCATAAACTCACCTCCCTAAGTCGTCTTCACCTGGAAGCAGTGGTGGGAGTGGCAGTGGAGGCAGAGTTGAGGTCTTCAGATGAGGGATGGTTATAGTGACAGGTGCTTGTGGCTTAGAATTTGAGAATACAGTAGATTGAGAGTTTGCCTGAGCAGTCACAGATGTTACTCTTGTATGGAAAGTGGATGTCAAAGAAGCAGCCACAGTGGTTGGAAGAGGCAGGAATGTCACTGTGGGCTGGGGAGGAAGGGGTGGTGGAGGCTGGAGTGGGGCAGCTGGGCACGGAGGGAGTGGAGGAAGTGGGGGTGTAGGAGGAGGAGGAGAGCAAGCAGGTAGAGGAGGTGGTGGAGATTGGAGAGGGGGCAGAGGGGGTGGTACGTCCTTTTCTTTCTCTCTGTCTGTTGCTCCTTCCTTTGGCATCAAAACATCCTCTTTGATGGATGCTACTTTGCTGTCCTTTGCAGCTGAAAGTTTTGGGTCCCTGGCCACAAGTGGTGGCTTTTTGTCACTCTCTTCCTGCTTCACTGATACAACTGGTGCCTTGTTCTCCACGTTAACAGCAGTTAATAACTCTGTATCAGATACAGATTTTTCTATTTTAACAATTTTGGTTGCCTTTTTAGAATCAAGTGCAAGAGTTGCTCTGGAATCCCCAATTTCTCTCTTAAGTAATAACGGGCTACCCCTGGAATCTCTACCAGCCGCTGCTGCAGCAGCTGCCCTCTCTTTTTTCTTGCGACTCAGTTCAGCACCCAAACTAGAGTTTAATGGCAATCGGGCAGGTGAAATACTGGAATGGCGACTTCGTGACTGAGACTTCTTCTTACTGCGAGATGAAGAAGAGGACTTTCTGGAATACACAGGACTCCTGCTGCGAGACTTGGCAGATTTCCTGAGAAAACAGGGAGGAAAAAAAAATAAAAATAAAGAAATTTATGTGTGTGTGTGTGTATATAGATATAGATATATATAGAGAGAGAGAGAAAGAAATAACAAAACTGCAATATTAATAATTAACAGTGCTAGTGTAACTCGTATACATTTACCAGACATTCATATGCATTTATGTAAAAATATATAAATGGCTTCACACAAATCCATTTCAACAAATAACCACTACTCGTAATGTCATTTATAATGCCATTTGCTTATTTCAGTAAGGTCTACTTTCAGAAATTGGAAATACAGGCATAAAGTTGATTATCAATCTCAAAAAGCAAAGCGTCTGCAAGCTTGATTTTCCTCTACATAGGTGGTTTATGGTAAAGTCAGTGTTGTTACAGAAAAGATATTCACATTTTAAACCGCTGAAAACCGATGTTTTCATTTTAGCATTGACATCCCCAAAAGTAGCATATCTACATAGAGGATAGTGGTCAGTGTGTTGGGAGTATTTCGGTAGACATACTTACCTGATGTTGGAAGCTCTACTTATTGCCATATGTTGCCTAAGACTGAGCCACAGATAATGCAAAGTGCCTGTTTTGTAATGTGTATATTTTCATTGCTTTAGGATTTAAAGTGCTTTTCATAACGAATCATAATGAAAATCTCAACAGAAGCACTTCCACAATCTGTGCCAAGTCCCCCACTTATATAGATGAGAAATATTGTCCCATTCCCTTAATCTTAAGATTTCACCCCCAGGTGAGCTGTCACTGTAGAAACATGCACATGGAGTTGAGGAAAGAGTAGGGTCTATCAGCTAGGCTCCTACTCTACAATGTCTTTGATAACACACTCATGAAACCAATCGCAGATATCAGATGACCTCTTGTAATCAGTCTATATAAATGTGTGATCGAGCAGGCGTAAGAGTGATGCTAATCCTGGGATTTAACAGTGTTTTATCAGTTACACTCGTAAGCTACCGTTTCTGTAAAATTGTTCAGTGTCACACAAACTTCCTTTAGAAAAGAAAAATCCAAACAAAAAACGCTGTGCTTTTAAATGATTTATACACAGAAGTGAACCCACAAGTCAAACTAAGTAGCAGTCACATTTTAATAGCAACTTCTATTTTGCTTACTTTGGCCACAGATGTTAAACATGGTAACAAATACTAGTTTAAGGGCAGGACACTTCAGGCAGATAGGAAAAGCACAAGGGTCTATGGGAAACAAACAGCCCTCTCGCAGGAACCCCAAAGTGTTCTATAAAATGGTGATCTCCGTTAATAAAAAAAAGAGGCATGGAGGCAATCTCTACCACTTGGCTTTTGTTCACATGCATGTCAAGTCTCAGTAAATACTGTTCATAAATCTTGTCCACCTGTTAGAGGAACACATTTTCTGTCTGTATATGATTTCACAGGCCATGGGAATGAACCAGTTAGGACAGAGAATGCATTGCCTTAAATAACCAAAACGCACCAGAATAATAATCACAATATTGTGAAGTCACTTTAAACCACAATGATGCCCTTTTGGTCTTTACATGGCAATCGTTCAATTAATATAGTTTTTGCAACTGCTACCTATCAAACTTTTATATACAATTTCTACACATGCATACATTTGGAAACACACACACACACACACACACACACATCACAACACACCTCAAGTGCATGCATATGCAGCACCCACGCGGCTCCTGGCAAATGAAGTACCAGGAGCCAAAGAATACCTCCATGAATTAGATGGCGGTAGCCTCAAATTACACCTTTGGGTAAATATACCTTCCACTGCACCCTGTGGCCAGCGGACGCTTATTGGAGATGCAGATCGCTTTAATTCTCTTAATTCCCCCCCCCCCCAACACAGAGCTGGGGATCGAAAAAGCCATGGTGCTACACAATAGAGGACCTGCCTCTGACACAAAAAGATCTTTTTATGTAATCCCCAACCTACAAGACTGCGGGCTGTCTCAGAGCAAAAGTGGGATGTGAAATGAGATTACATCCTGCGGATACCTCGACTGAATGGAGGCATTTGGAAGTGGTGCCCAGAAGCGCTTTCTGGAACCTAGTGAGTTAGCAGGCAGAGATTTCCCAGGTCTTTACAAGATACCTAGGATATCTGTCCCTCAGACAAGACATGGAAGTATGCAGACAGAAGGGTAGTTGTAAATAATAAAGGAAGGGGAAAATCTGCATAATAATGGGACATAATGCTAATCATGCCAAATATAATCCTAACACGAAATAGAAATATAGCTAATATTCAGATGTTTCCATGTTAACATGTCTTGCTCGTTATGTCTGGCACTTGCTCTCAGATTCTAGAAAAAACAACTGATCAACAACTACCGAATAAAGTTTGCTAGTAGGTTTTCTTTGATCACACAATACAAGAAATTTTTCCAGGACAGAAAAATAGCAAACATGTATTATATGAAATAATGCCATTTTGATATTCTACAGTCATAACAAACTACAAGAAAGAAGACTAAGCAGTCTATTTGCACATATATACAGATTGCTTTTCAAATTCCTTTCTTGTACCAGGGCAGCTGGAGTGCTGGAGATAGGTTGTTGCCTAACAATACAGTTGATATGTGCCTCAAACACATACACACACACACACAAAAATGAGATTTCCACAACCACACAAAGTACACAGTGGATTCTAAAGAAAAAAGTTTTGCTTGGACTCCAGATGCTCCCTGAGCCACCGGCCTTATGGTAAAGTGCAGAAGCTGTGGCACAGAAATGTTAGTGCTTACAGTTCTGGGCGCCTTAAAAAGGTGCCCACAGTAATACTGAAATGTAGAAAGCAGTCTCCAACTGAAAGGATAATGTGCAACTATGAAGGAGGTTCAAGGCTTTTATGCCTTGCTGCAACATTAATGTCTGATTAATGTTAGGGTCTCCCTTCTGCTCACTCATTTTATTACTAATGCTTTCTCCCTGCCTGCAAATCCCACTAAACTATCCTGCCCACTACCATTATACTACAACAGCAATCCACTACAATCCTACATCCCACACCTCTCTAAAGGCATAACAAAATCTCATAGCAGCTCTATCCACAAGGCTCTCTCCCACTTCTCCTTGACAGGAATTTTCAGTACCTCCAACAATTCCTTCCTGACTAATATTTCAACAAAAATAATAAAAAATTAAGTAGGGTTAGCGTCACGTGGCAAGCTACTCTTCTGACATCTCAAATGAAAAGTTAATGCAGTAGGATTGCATTTGAGGTGATCATAAACAGAATCCACATACACAAGTTCCTGAATGTGTGTGTGTTGTGAGCAAAAAAGTGGAATAGTGGTTGATGGAAGATACATCAGGCCTGATTTGCTAAACAGCAACCAGAGAATTTTCAGTTAAATGCCCCAGGGAGAGATGTTAAAGTTTGCAATATACATTGCTGATGCTCTGCAAAACAAGGTTTTGGTCCCTGGGGTGGAGCATTTGGAGAGCAGGGTGGGCCAATGCTCCAACAACACTAGTTGCTGTGTAACAGACCAGAATTTTGATTTAGCCTAAGAGTTAACTAATTGGCACTCACCTGTAGCTGGTCAATTAGCAGACAGGCCTTTAAAAGAAGAGATCAGCCTGCTGCAGAGAGAGGGAGAAAAAGCCAGCTAGGAGAGCTGAAGGACAGAGAACAACAATTGTGTTTATTGCAAAGCTATTTAGTTTTTGGGGGGAAATTGGTAAGTGGGAAAGCCACCCAATTACAGATAGTGATTTCTGTCTAGTAAGAGCTCAAGTAGGAGCAAGGAATTTTGTTTTGTTTATTATTAAAGCACCTGCTTTCTTATCAAATAAAGGAAAACCGAACTGAATGTGTCCTGGACTTTGTATACCCTAGAAGGCTGTGGTTTATTGTAAGATCTGTGACAAAATCCTACCTGTAAAAGACGTGGTTTGTTACAGTGTGTATACATATACACACACTGTATACACATCTTTTATTTGAAAAGAATTTAAAGCATTCCAAATAGAAGACATCCAATTTAACTACCTTGTGTGTTTAATCAGTTTGTTTTATTTTCTATACATTGAAAAATAAGACAAAAAGCAATGTATCACATGCTCCCATGGCTACTGATTAAATTAAGGAATTATGCAATAAATATCAAACAGACCAAATTAGAAAAAAAAAAAAAAATTATTCAGCACTTCTATTTTTGACCAAAAGGTTTAAATATCTTATTTTCTGATAATTCATGATTTAGAAAATAACACAGCTTGTCTAGGTAATGTGGAACTCATAACTAACTGGAGGATTCTAGGAAACACATGCACAGGAGAAATGTCAATTTATCAGCTGACATTTTGAAGTGGTCATGGTACATGGAATTTAAAAGTGCAGCGTTTCGCTATGAAATGCTGCACATACGGAGTTTAACCCCTTTGCTTCAAGAGGTGGCACTCCACCTCCAGCAATTTCATAGGGGTGTCAGAGTGTTAGACTGACTAACATTTGTTTGTATATTTCTATGCATAGAGGCCAATTCATTGGCTGAGAGAAATAAGCTGATGCGCTCATCCAATGAAGGAGCGGCACGAACCAGCACAATAGGAGACCCAGTTCCCAGCGGGGACCCGGGTAACATGGCAAAAAGTAATAAAAATTGGCAGCAGGGTGCACTGGTTGGTGTAACCCTTTAAAATGATGTTATGCACACATATCAAAAGTACAGGACAGTAGTTGCAATGATGTTTGCAAACTGCTGCACTTATAACCAACAGACGAGCGAGAGAGAGACAGAAGCTCTTTGCACGATAACCATGTAAGCAATTTTAAATATATTTATATAACTAAAGTTTTGAGTCAAATTGTGTAATCCAAATTCTCATGGATACCCAGGGATAAAGGTTATATTCCAACCTCTTGATAATCTAACCAATCGCTGAAACAGGATGAAGAGGATGTAAAACCCAAAAGCGTTTGTAGGTTTTACAGTCTGCGCATCAGCTATTATTGTATTGGTTATATAAATGCCATATATATTCTGATCATAAAAGATTTCTATAAGGCACATACCACAAATAGATATATAAAACAAAACGCTGTAGTGTATATATTAAGGAAAGAATAGAGCCAAAGGTTCCAGAATCACAAGATGGTGCCATTTTTAAATAAACTTCACTGTTATGGACATTAGATGTATTTAAATCAGGTTCCACAGCAACTGGAATACCAGGGATTTTCCCTGCCTTCCAGTTATTGTGGAATGTAAAAACACACAAAGACAGCATAACAAGTGCATAAATAGATGCACACACACACTTCTATTTCCATTTTTTTAGTGTAGCAATGGGACAAAAAGGTCTCAGGCTGCTTGAGACTGATGGGAGTCACACTCTCCGACATCAGTAACGGGAGGGGCGAGGTAGGATAAATAAAAATGATTACTATTCTTATACCGTCTCATTAAGAAGTGTCTTGAATCCACTCGGATATAGTATTTTATATACGTATGCAAAAGTTTGTTTCAGACAGTTCGTCCGAATCAAATTCCTGTTAATTCACACGTGCATGAATCGATCGTCTGAGATTTACCTGCAAAGTCTTGTTGATTGCATACTACTACATCGATTTGTTGAGTGTGGATTAAAAGGCATCAGTCTGACAAATCGTTAAAAACAAACCTTATTAAAAAAGTCTAGTATTTAACCTGTATACACAGTTGATGCCAACATGAGAGATAACAGGACCAAGTCCAAATCCACTAAATCATTCCAATCACCTTAAATACTACAACTTACTGTATGTTCTATTCCCCAAAATTTGGCCCAGCAAACTTCCCCTGAAACTCCTGCCCCATCCACCCCCAGCCCCAATTTTACTCTAAATCTGCTGCTTCCAAATTGCTCCCCATTACCAATTTTATTTTTGAATGAATGGCTTCCCTGTTGGGCTACCAAAGTACTTTTACAGTATGAGTCAACAATGCTTACCAGTGCAAATCAATCAATCTTTCCGGTTAAGGAGCTGTAACATGTGCATACAGCAGTTTTTCTTCCCCAACTCAGAGTGCATGTGAACTCACCACATAAGTGTAGGCACCTCACATTAATACTTTATAAGTGTTTGGATGGTTGACTGGGTAGCAAATTCTGATACATGAGAGTCAAGAGAAAATAAACTTGAAGGGTTTTCAAGTTAAGTTAGCAGATGTGGTTTCTGAGCACCAAAACAAACATTCAGTAATCTGTAATAATTGATACTTGGAATGTCCTTTTAATGAAACAATATATAACACTGTTTAAAGGAGCAATCGGAGCACCGCCATAACTTAAGAGCACATGATAGATTTTGATAAATGTGGGCCTCATACTCGTGCTATGTTCTCTTTGTTCAAAATTTATTTTTAATTTTTTTAAAAAAAGCAAAACTAAAAATAGGTTTTGCTACTTCTTGAACTCTGCTGCTGTACCTTAAGCCATGCTATCTCTTTTCAAAAAGCTAGTTAATAAGATGATGGATGAATGTGAGCTGAGCTGCTGACTTGACTCGATCCCCTCAGCCAATAACTGTCCTCTTATCAGCATAGTATTTTAAAGCTATGCTATGAAAAAAGAATACAAATAAGACAACACTGATTGTCTATGGGGCGGAGTGATATCAGGAGCTCAACTACAGAGTACATATAGCCCAAATACCCTAGTTGAGAAAATACAGAGCAAGGCTAAACGTACAGGGTTAATGAGATCTAAATGCAAGAAACCCTCATGAATGAGGCCAAACTATCAAATGCATTGAAGTTATGTCAGTGCCTGATGCATGACTGGAGTGTCCTTTTAAGTCAGTACACTATTTTCTGTTAAAAGAAAATATAATCACCTGGTTACTGGGCTCCGACTCACTGATCGCTTTGACACAAAGGGGCTAGTGGACCGTCTACGCCCATAAGGACTGGGAGATCTGCCACTGTAGGAGCCGCTACCTCTCTCATAACTAGATGACCTCCTCCGGTAAGGACTCACTGAACGCTGTCTGCGGCCATATGGACTTGGTGACCGCAGATTGCTCTGGTAGGCAACAGGCTCCTTATAGCTTGGGCTGTCTGAAATCTTCTTGTAGGCATCTGTATAGCTACTTGATGCATGGGACCGAGGAGGACTACCATCATAATCCTGTCCGCCTGATGCATCAGTGTGGCTATCATCTTGCTTTGGACTACTTCCATACTTCCTGCCTTTCCTCTTTGGGCTGTCAGAGGTCTTGTATCGCTTGGATGAATCTCTTTTCCGGTGACCTTTGCTTCTATCTTTATGACCAGACTTAAGGTCCCTCTCCCTGCGCGATTTCTCACGATGCATTTTGGATGCACGAATTTCCTTGTTACTGCTTTTTGATGTGCGTGCATGCTCCTCCAGCTCTTCTGCTGGCCTTTTAGTTGTGCCAGTGGTCCTGTCCTTTGAACTGGGTGCTTTGCTCATAACTGCATCCTGGCTTTTTTCTGATTTCCTTTCTTTATCTCCCTGCTTGGTCCTAGAAGCATCTTTGATTTTCTTATGTTGGTGCCGATGCCTGGACTTATGCAGCTTTTCACTTTTCTCTGAGCCTCGTCGCTCATCATTTTCCCTTCTATCAGGCTTAGTTGGAACATCATCTGAAAACGTGTCCGAGTCAGAACTAATATCATCATATTCCACTAGCTTCAGAGTGCTAAGTGCAAATGGCTCAGCAGCAGAAGGAGAGTCTTTGAGGTGCTTAGATTTGTGCCGTTTATGTTTAGAACTAAGCCGTTGACGGTCACGGTTATTGGAACTGCCACTACTTTGTGGCATTGTAGATGTTGACCCTCCGCTGTCCTTGTTCCCATGCCGCGCTGGGTTTGGCATTCCTCTGCTAATTAGCGGAGGAAAACAAATAGGGGAAGGGGATAGGGAACACTCAAAAAAACAGGAACAGGCTCTATTCTGCAAAGTCTAAATTACACAAGTCAAAAAGAAAAAATTTCACTCTATCCTATCATCTCCCTCATTCACAGAGGTGCTGAATCGCTTGTTTCTACATAGATACGGATTTCACCCAGCCTGAAGACAAGAAATCGATTCAACAGAATGTAAGATCAGTCTTGCCTCCATAAAACAAATATACGGAAAGTAACCAAATGTAAACTGAAATAATTTCTTATCTTCTTACAAGACCAGGCGGTGCACGTAAAAAAAACGGTGACCAAGACAGTTTATAGAGGTTTCCTTTTTATTCCTTATGGTTTTAATTTAGGCCAGTGCACTTTGAAAAAAAAGTGATCTCTTCAAATATAATTCAATGACCTTGCAGGTATCACAAACTCATTCCATGAGGATAGGAGGAGCCAACTGTCCAATCTATAACTGTTGCCCCACCAGGGGGATTATAAAAGTCTCTATTTAATCAAACGGTATCTTCTGGCCCTGCTTTAGCAAGCGCCTAGTTCTTCTTACCAGACAGCCAAATAAACACCACCCCCCCACCCCAAAAAAAAAAGTCTACAATCTTTCACAGGTTTCTAACAACTGAGAGGTGTTAGATAACGGCTGAAGAAGTTTCAGTTTCCAATATGGGGTGCCTTTTCTTTTCTCCCCAAAATGTTGCAAATCAGGTTATTTCAAGTCTTTTTTTTTTCCCCTAAAAGAGAAAAAAAAAAACCAATAATAAAAATAATAATCTTAAAGTGGGTGTTTTGTAAGGGTCCTTGCAGACTGCACACCCACCCCACCCTTGCTTGTGAGGGGTCCTGAGACAGGTAGAGGTGGGGGGTCTGTCCTCACAGATGATAAGTTGACCAAGCAGTGATTGAAAGCCGGCTGATAGTAATGGGGTATTCCCCTCACTCGAGTCAGGGAGGGAGCAGTCCTCCAGCAGGTCCCTCAGGTAATACTGAGGGGGTCACACAGTATCCAGGCCCCCCTCAGCCAGGGGGTAGAGACCTCCTTCCCCTGGAACCACTGAAGAAGCTCTCTGTCCACTGTGTCAGCGCGGTGCGGCCTCTTCCTCCCTCAGCTCTCAGAGCTCTACACTCGCCCACCAACAGGTACCTCCGGGGATTTTAGGGGCCGGCACGAGGCTCAGTCAGTGCTCGCCGGTGACCGGGGAAAAAGTGGAGGGGGGGTTTTGCTCTGGCGGGAAGGAGGGTGGGGGAGGCCAACCGCGAGAAACGGCCGCCTTGCGTTACCACAGGCAGCGGACTCCCCCCCTGTAGCAAACCTCGCGAGCGATGCCTGTGAGCACGGGCAGCGGCCTCAGTTTTCCCAGCAAACCTCGCGAGATTTCCCGTCACGGCGGCCGAGTCTCGCGAGCCGAAGGCAAAAAAGGCATGTGTGTGTGTTTAGAACTCGGTGACGAGGACACACTGCAAGGCTGAGGTCCGCCGCGGGTTGAAATCTCGCGAGAGCGTTGGATCCATGGAACGCGTGGTGCTGCGGCTTTTTCTTGGATGAGGTTTTTTTTTGTTGGTTTTTTTTCGATATCAACCAACTTTATTTGGTAACTTACAATCGTGTTACAAAAAAAAAATTGTCAGGGTTATTTACTAAAGTGAGAATTGTGAAGAGTGAATTTCAAATTTAAGGTCAATATCCAAACTGGAATAATTCTCTGAGTAAGCTGTCCTCCCAGATATTTTGTCCTTAAAATGTAAATGCACTTTGACTTCCTGACAGTTTGCACTTTAGTAAATAACCCTGGTAAAGTTTAATGTGTCAGTCTATCATTTTTACTAAATGTATAAGCGAATAGCTACCAACATTTCTAATGGACAAAGAGGGACACTCATTTATTTATTTATTAGGGGGAGGGGGGGAAGGGGAACAAATATACTGACACAGATACACACACATACACATACTGACACACATACACACACACACATACACATACTGACACAGATACACACATACATACTGACACAGATACACATACTGACACAGATACACACATACATACTGACACAGATACACATACTGACACAGATACACACATACATACTGACACAGATACTGACACAGATACACACATACATACTGACACACACAGTGTGTATCTGTGTCACATACATACTGACAGATACTGACACAGATACACACATACACATACTGACACAGATACTGACACATACTGACACAGATACACACATACATACTGACACACACATACTGACACAGATACTGACACAGATACATACACATACTGACACAGATACACACATACATACTGACACACATACTGACAGATACACACATACATACTGACACACACATACTGACACATATAAACATACATACTGACACAGATACGCACACACACATATACTGACACATATACACATACATACTGACACACACATACTGACACATATACACATACATACCGACACACACACATACTGACACAGATACACATACATACGGACACATATACACATACATACCGACACACACACATACTGACACAGATACACATACATACGGACACATATACACATACATACTGACACAGATACACATACACATACTGACACAGATACACACATACATACTGACACACACATACTGACACAGATACTGACAGATACACACATACATACTGACACAGATACACATACATACTGACACATACATACTGACACACATACTGACAGATACACACATACATACTGACACACATACTGACAGATACACACATACGTACTGACACAGATACACATACATACTGACACACACACATACTGACACAGATACACACATACATACTGACACAGATACACATACATACTGACACACATACTGACACAGATACACACATACTGACACAGATACGCACACACACACATACTGACACATATACACATACATACTGACACACACATACTGACACATATACACATACATACTGACACACACACATACTGACACAGATACACATACATACGGACACATATACACATACATAATGACACACATACGGATACATATACACATAGATACTGACACATATACACATACATACTGACACAGATACACATACATACTGACACACACACACATACTGACACAGATGCACATACATACGGACACATATACACATACATACTGACACAGGTACACATACATACGGACATATATACACATACATACTGACACACATACATACTGACACAGATGCTCATACATACTGACACACACACACTCATACTGAAACAGATACACATACATACTGACACACACACACATACTGACACACATACATACTGACACAGATACACATACACACACACATATACTGACACAGATACACACATACTGACACAGACACATACTGACACAGATACACATACATACGGACACATATACACATACATACTGACACACACACATACTGACACAGATACACATACACACTGACACACACGCATATACTGACACACATACACACACATATACTGACAGATACACACACACACATACTGATACACACACACATACTGACACAGATACACATACACAAGGTCAAACTGGGACATTGGATGACCCTTATTTTAAGGGTGTGAATTGGAGTGTGACCTGGGGCACGTTTCATACAGCTGTGAGAGAAGATGGATTAATGATTCATATTTCCTTATTTAGTAAAAGTAAAATAGCAGATTCATTTGTTGTTTCAAAATTATGTTAGTTAAGTCATAAAGGTATTACAAGATACTCATTGCTTCTCCATCACTTGACTACTTGGGCTAATATTTCAACTCCAGTACTTGTTTGGTAAATAAACCACTTGGTAACCATAAATTACCATCCCAACACATCGAGACTTGTCAAGCCAGATGATATTACTGTCTCACATGATCTGCACATAGGCCTCCCAAACAATCTACAGACCATTAAATCTCATATAAATGCATGTAATGAGTTTTAGGACATTTAACAGTGTTCCGCATATGGGTAGGTGGCTGCTTTATGGTCCCTTCCTGTTCCCATACTGCACTTTAAAATGTCCTGCTTCTGAAGACACCAGGGTTCAAGTCTCAGGAAAGCACGTTGTTAGAGTATCATTGGACAAGCTTGCACTGTGCAAAGCATAGCAGGGCATTTTTGTCCATAATAAAGCTTTTTGTCAGCTTTTTGTGCACGGGCCTTTCTGGTGGCCTGGGACTGCCAGATAATTTGATTACACACTGCAAAATGTTGGTAGGTATGCAATTTGCAAAAGTAAAAGGTATGAATTCAGTACCAGCACAACAGACTAATTAGCAGCTGTGCTCGTTAGTTCTACTCCGGGTAACCCTAGTGCAAGAGAGTTTGCATACCTCCCTAGTGTCCCTATTTAGGAGGGACAGTCCCTATTTTGGGCCTGTTTAGTAATATGCTATGCTTTCTGGGGGAGAACTTGTTTCTGTGTCTTCAGAAACAGGCCAACTTAAAGCCAACGTGGGACATGTTTCACTGAACCTGCCCCTCGTGGGCGCAGCCATCTAGTCCTCTTCTGCTCCTGGTTTGCATGCTCAAGAGTACAGCACTGAGGTCTGTGGAGGATCCAGAGAAACTGCAGGATGCTCAATAGACATAGCTAATATCTTGGCAGGCGTCACTGATGTCAGCTTGGAGATTGACACTACTAGATGGCGGTAGCTCCAGCCAGTGTCTAGAAGTGTAGGAAATATACTGAGACAAATATACTGAAGCAATGTAGCCCCTTCTTTGTCTCTGTATATATTTTGAATCGGTTGGAATTTTAGTGAAATATTTTATCTTTATGAATACTCATTTTAAATGTTAGTTTTTTTTTTCTTATATCATGTAATTGGCATAGAGATATGGGGCATGTGTGTTTACTGGCACAATCTTACCTTTAAAGGGATACTATAGGCAACTAGACCACTTCAGCTAGTTGAGGTGCTCGGGGTACAGTGTCCCTGTTGCACTGTGTGCTGCAATGTTAAACATGCTGCATGAGGACATCCAGCGTCAGCTATTTCTCCATAGCCTTTGCCGTGCATGCGCATTAGTGCTCCCTCATCGCGGGACGTTGGAGGAGGAGCCACAACCCAGCGCCGAGGGACATTGAGTAATGCTTTCCTATGGGCTGTTTGAATGCGCACACGACTCTTACCGTGCATGCGCATTCGGAGCTGAGAGGCGGATCGGGGCGGAGGGATCCCCAGCGCCAAGGAAGTCCGGCACTGGAGAAAGGTAAGTGCTGAAGGGGTTTTAAACACACACACTCTCACGAACAGACACATACACATACACACTAGCTAACAGACACACACATTTACTGACAGAGACACACTCAGCGACATACATACATACACTCACTGACAGACAGACACACATACACACTCACAAACATACACTCTCACTGACAAACACACACTCACTCACTAACAGACACACTCACTGACACTCACTAGCAGACACACACTCAATAACAGACACACACAAACTAACACACACAGTGACACTCACTAGCAGACACACACTCAATAACAGACACACACAAACTAACACACTCACTAGCAGACACACACACAGTAACACACACTGACACAAAAACTAACACACATACACAAACACATTTAAAAAAAAAAAATATCTGATCCCCCAGTCTCTTTACCTTTGGGAGAGCTGAGGGGATCCCCTGGGGTCCAGTGGTGCTGCTGGATGGCTGGTCACTGGGCAGGCTGACGGGCGAGCGAGGGAGCACTCTCGTCTGAGCGCTCTCTGCCCAGCTACCTCGCACACCACATACTGATGCTGGAGCCGGAATGACGTCATATTCCGGCTCCGGCATCAGAGCGGTGCGCGAAGGAGCTGGGCAGAGAGCGCTTAGGGGAGAGTGCTCCCTCGCGCACCCGCAGGACCGGCCACCTGGTAACACCCCAGGAGAAGAGGCTGGCCACACTGGGGTGCATACCGGGTCGCACGGCGGCCGGGCCCCCTGGTGGGCCACGTCCCCGGTATGCACGCCACTGTGAAGTTGTCTGGGCACCTTTAGTGGTCCTTTAATAATAATAATTGAATTATAAGCCCCTATACCACCCATATATACACACTACACCATGCTATACACCCACTACATCCGTATACACACAGTGCACCCCATATAAACATATACACTATACCCTCTATATAAACTCACTATAGTCCATATATATATACGGTGCTCTCCCTATACAAACACACTGTACTCAATATACTCTTTAAACACACACTAAACCATTATACACACAGTACGCCCTATACACAGACACT